ACATATATTCCATGGGTAAGCAAGGAAATTGGGCTTTTGCGCATGGGTAAATCCCGTAAATAACGATTCTGTGCTTACTGCATTAAGCACAGAATTTTTTTTGCTAACGCTGTTAGCACAGCATAGAGATTGTACCTTTAAAGGGAATGTACATCATTGGCTTTTGCTGTAATTTTCAAAAATGGAGTATTTGAGGGGTTAGTATAATATATCAAATATTGTTACACTGACATGTTTGAAGTTTTATGTTCGAAAATGCTGGAAAAACCAAGAAAAACAAAATTGTTCAAGTAGTCTGGTTCCCTGACTCCACTAAAGATGAAATGAATCAATTTATAGTTGCCAAAAAATTGTAAGGTAAGGGAACCAGTCTAGCTGGCCTGCACCCGTTCATGAACATGTAACCAATACCAAACAAAATTTGGACTGAAAAAAGGTAAATTTGGAGCAGTGGTTGAAATATAGTTAGGTTTTTCCAATGGTGGTCGGCCGACCACCGTTGGAAATGTATACAAAAATACCATTTTCTTGAAAATTACTTCAAACCAGGTGCCATAATTTTACAGGATGCTTTAGACTGTCATTTACCAACATCCTAGTACGGAATTTCTTAAAAACTTGGTAGTTTTATTTTTCGATGTTTGCAAATGTTGTATATTCCCTTTAAGCTCGGGAAATTCTGTGGTTAGCAGCTAGAGCCATGAAATTGGGCCCCTGAGGCTTTTGGGGATCATTGAAGAAATGAGAAACGATCCCAGAAACGATGCCCCTGAAAGTCTAATCATATACATGTGTTTCTGGTTTCCACTGCACAGCCGAGGAGTTTCAGAACGGAGGATCCGGGAAAAGGTTCCTGGCTTAAATGTCATGGGAGTTTAGGATTTCTGGAAAAACTCCAGAAATACATGTACCACAATTATATGTAATTCTCTGAGGGACGTGTGTTGAAAGTCGGCAAAAACTAGACCTAATTCCAAAGACAAATTCATGGAAAGTAATGTGTCGGATCCAATTACTAGTAACATGCAGTTTGATCCCCATTCAATCAAACTAGTCATTTCTAGTACTGTAGGCAGAGTTGTATGACTTGTGACTTGGACTCGAGTCAGACTCGAGTCCAATTTTCTGTGACTCTGATTCAGATTTTCCATGACTTGGACTCGGACTCAGACTCAGACGCGACCCTGCGGACTTGGACTTGGATTTAGCCTGCTTGACTTGGGACTCGACCAAATTTCCCACGAATCACTTATTTTTGCAACAATATAATCACAAATTATTTGGAAGACGATCCTTTCCTGAGCAAGCGACACAGTCAGTGCAGGGCAGAAGAAATGCATCTAGGTACTGTACATACACAGCGCGTGCGGCTCAAAATTTCTTTCCAAAATGTAGTACTTAAAGCTGACTCGTGACTCAAACTTGACCTTTGTGACTTGTGACTCGGACTCGAATCGACCTGCATAACTCGGTACTCGGACTCGGAAGAGGTGACTTGCACTCGGACTTAATGTCTGGTATTCCAAACTCGAATACAAGTCTGACTGTAGGCAATGGAAAGGTTTAATTATACGGTGAAAATGAAACTTAAATTCCCAACAGGGGGATGATATTGTCAATAAACAAAAAAGGTTTGAAATCAACAGTATGACAGATAATGCTGTTGTGTTACTTTCACAGCAACGTCATACAATTTTCTCCCATTCAAAAGATCTGATTTCAGTCCGAAGTCTGAAATATCTTGTACATGGATATATTCACATCTAACCAAAGACATCAAGGTTACTCAACCAAAATTGCATACAGAGGAAAAAGAGTTAATTTATTCTCTGTTTTCCTTTTGCAGTTGTAGGTGTGTGCGTTATCAAAGCACTTGACGGGCGGGCCCGGATGCTTGGGGGACATCCGTGTCTTATCCAAACAGCGGCCAGAAAAAGACTTGGGTGAAGACCAAGAGCGTATAATTACGTACACGCACAGTATAAAAACAAGTGCAAGGATAACTTAAAGTCAAGGTACTCAGTAAGAGATTTCCCTTGATTCAAGAAATCAAGTCAATTTTAACTTTTGACATGAAGATGTTTCTATTCCCCCTGGATGGGATGCCAGTCCATCGCAGGTTACTCTCCAGCTAAAGCTGGTGCCCATATTTTGTACACATGGGGAGTGAGGCAAGTGGGGGTGAAGTGGCTTGCCCAAGAGTGCAACACATGGCCGGCAGCTGGATTCGAACCCCTGACCCTCTGATCATGAGTCACAAACCTTAACTACAAGCCCACACACATAAAGAAATCCCCTTGCTTCACTTTAAATGTATCTATAAAATGTTGTGCAGTGACTTCTGCATGGGCCTTATTCACAAGTCGGCCATATTGAACTGAAAGTTAGGTAAAATCTTAGTTTTGGAAATTGCGAAGAGAAATGAAAGCAAGTTAATTTATAATAAATTCCAGTCTGCTTCAATGAATAATTTAAAATTTGTAATTAAACATTCACTAATGTTCAAAGCCATATTTAACAAAAAATAAGGCTGCATTGTGCCTGCATTAATAGTCTGGCGCCATCCCATTCAACAGTTAACAAATAATGGAATACATTCAGGGAACTCCACAAAAATGGCCAACTCGTGAATAAGGTCAATGCCAGTTCTGAACAAATCTTGTTAAAGGTTACATATAAATATGCAATATTTGCTTTTGCTGTAATTTTTTAGAAACTGATGGATTTGGGAGTTGGTATTTTATAGCAAATATTGTTACACTGACCTGTTTAAAGTTTTTGTGTTCCCTGACCCTACCTCAGACGAAACGGAGCAATTTATAATCATTGGGGGAATTGTCAGGCCAGGGAACCAGACTAGCTTATTTGTATTCCATTTTTTCACAACTTTGCTAACTGCTTAGAATTATACATGTGTGTAATTGGTCTTTGTTTTTAATTGTTTTTTTTTCCTGTTATTATTCGTCTGTTTTGTGTAATGGCATGCCTGATACAAGCTATGCTTTTAAGGTTTTGCCACCTCTAGTGGCCTTTATATGTTTAAGTACTTATATTACTTTTTCATTTCTGTCATGAAGAGGAAATAAATGTGATTTTGATTGACAGCTGGCTTGCACCCATTCTCGGATGTGTAACTGATTGCAAACAAAATGTGGACTATTTAGCTAAATTTGATAAATTTGGGTCAGTACTTAAAGAAAAAAATATTTCCAACAACTGTTGGCCGACCATCGTTGGAAAATGATACAAAAATTCCACTTTTCTTGAAAATGACAGCACACCAGGTGCCATGGTTTCACAGGATGCTTGAGGCTATCGGTATTATTCACTTTCAGTCAATTTCGCAACAATTTGGTACATTTTTGCTATTTGATGCTTGCAAGTGTTGTATCATCACCTTTAACACCCGACATGTGCTAAGGCTCCCAAGGGAGATATCTGTGTTTTGAAACTTCATTTACTCAGAGAGGAGACATCCACTTCCCCTGTTTTTTTTCTGTCCCTAGATTGCCTAAAATAAACATCTGACAGCTTCAGGGGCCAATTTTCATGAAACCGCTTATAGCACAGAAACATTTTAAGATTGTAACATTTTAACTTGGAAAAAGAAACTGTGTTTTCGTAACTCGCGCCGAGACAAATTGATTCTGTTTTTACTCCAGACATGGAGACAAACGATCCAATACCAGGGTGAGAAAGCAGATGGTGGTGGGAGCTTACTGCTCGACACCCTGGGACAAGGTTGGCATTCCCCATGCTAGTTTGGAGTTTCATCCCCAAAAATAGCTCCCTCTTCTAAATTTAATTTTTTTTCTTGCAATACAGGGTGGTGCAAAAAGAAGGAAACCCACTTTTGACAGGAATTTTAACCTACTTACTTAAATTATTTGAACTCTTTTGTAATATAGTGAAGTATACCTCTTCAACCATTAGTTGTGAAAAAAATCTTTTCAAAAATCGCAAGAATAGTATTATTATGCTACAAATTTGAAAACAAGTCACCAACATCACCGTTGTCCATGTGTAAGTCTAGAGTAGTGTTTTTCTTTTTCTTCAAATCAAGCTCCGGAGCTCAGTCAAGCGGATGGAATAAAGCCGTCCGTGGACAAAACAGGTTTGGCACATGATATTTTTAAACTACCATATCTCAGAGACAAAATATGCATTTGCAATCGTTTTTTTCCAATGATCAGTCAGTTGACCAACTTTTGGAATAAAGAGTGCTGAAAGTCTGTCCATGGTTTAACACTGTTCCTCAAAAAAAGTGTTAATATCCACTGAGCTGAAACTTCAACAGGTTACGTTACCAACTTTCTTCTTTGGATTTTGAGTGGTGTTATTATTGGAAATGAACAAAATGCATGAAAAGCAAACGATCCCATGTGCTTTTAATGTGGGATTCACCTGTTTGTACCGCCAAAATTGCGTCGCTACCAGCAACCTAATTCACTAAGAAATACGGCTTATTCCAGGGAAGACACAACATTTGCAAACATCAAAAAACAAAATGATCAAATTATCAGGAAATACCTTACTGAATTGTTAGGGATTGACAGTCTAAAGCATCCTGTAAAATCGTGGCTCCTGGTGTGCTGACATGTTCAAGAAAAACTGTATTTTTCCAACGCTGGTCGGCCGACCAGCGTTGGAAAACACTGGCTTTTTCAAAAACTGTTCCTATTTTGTCATATTTAGTTATTCCGCATTTTCTTTGCAATAGATTACACACCTGTGAAGGGGTACAAACCTGCTAGACTGATTCTTTGACCTTACAATTCCCCAAAGTCTTTACGTTTCTCCGTTTCATCTTAAGTGGGGTCGGGGAACCAGACTACAAGAAAATGATTGGTTTTCTTGGTTTTTCCAGCATCTACAAGCCCAAAACGTGAAACAAGTCAGTTAAACAATATTTGCTATAACATACTAATCCTCCAAATATTTCTGAAAATTGCAGCAAAAGCAAATGTTGTACATTCCCTTTAAAAGTGTTTGGTACTCACGTATGGGATGTCTCTCATCTCATTCAGTATGGGTTCCAGCATGATGCTGAGGGTGACTACTGGGTCCGTACGCCGACGATTGTTGGACTGGTTGGGTCGCTACCAATAAATAAAAACAACAGATGAATAACACAGTCACATGTGCATTGTATTGGATATCTTTCATACATGTTTTGATGTCTTGATTTTAATTGTGGGACTACCATCATGTATTTTACATTAATTTTTAATGTGGGACTACCATCATGGATTGATAAGTCAGGCCCAGAGTGAGCCTGTTTCATCTTATTGTGCATTTAATGTTTTAATTTAATGTTTTGATGTCTTGATTTTTATACATTTTTTTTTTTTTTATTGTAAATTAATCAATTTATCCATCCGTCTCTGGCGCTTGCACTGTTGGATGTTGTATGAAAATAAATACAAAAATTATAAATACATTTGTACACAACCTGTTGAAATATAAGGGTTCAACTTGATATCTTGCACCTAAGGGTTCACTTTCACAGAAGACATGTTCAGCCATGTGGTTGCGAAGGGTGATTTCTAAAGGTTACGTAACACTTTATTTTGAATGAAACATGTACACACACATGTTCACGTTGGCGGGCGAAATCTTTGGAAATTAATTTATCCAGTTTGGAAGATCGTATCTTCATGCAACTTTCAGTGTTTATTTCCCTTATAATGATCCAAGTATGTGCTAAAAGTCGTTGTGATATGTTAATTTTACTTTTCGTTGAAAATGGAAAAAATAGGCCTCGCTACGTGCAATTTTGAAAATTGTAACACTGGCTTGCGCAATATCTATCAATCTTTTCAAACCTCACGAATATTAATGAGGTTCTTATCCATTAAGGTGTGCAGTAAACAATGGCATAAAAACCTCCTTCATGAGTTGTTAATTAACAAATATCACCCTTTTTTTGCCGGCTTCCATTGGTCGATACCGAGACCCACGCCATGTCACGCCGAGTGACGCTACACATCGCATGACACTTTGGCCGGTAACCTACTTTTTGCTAAGCAAACATTTCTGGCGCTTAGCAGTGCCATGACATTGGCCAGGGCTCAATTTTCATGTCTCTACTAACCGTGGAAATCTGAGCGTGTGATTACCAGTTGGTGGCTGTACTCCCAGCACAAGCACAGATATTCTGCATTATACAATGCCTGAATAAATCCCCACCATCTGATTGGTGGGTCGTTGATCACGTGTCATTGAATTATTTGTCCCAACCCACGGACCATGGACCTTTATACTGATAAATTCATAATTATCCATGCATGCGCATAAATTAATGGGCCTGGCGGCCAGAAGCGAAAGGGGTCCATTGGAAATGTACAGGGATCCAGGTCATTTTCTCTCAATTTGTCCAGAATTTGTTGCTTTTTTCTTCAGAAAACCCGCTGAAATCGCGTGGCTGAATCACGGGCTGATTCGGCAAAGGTGAAGCCAGGCCACAGTTCAGGGATCTGGCCCGAAATTCGGTAGACAGGTACCCCAAAGCACACAGTTATTATTTTCCACTCGTGTGGAAAGGAGCCCTGCTTATTTCCTTCGCCCTCGTGCCCACGGGACGAAAGCAATTTTTTTTTTTATTATTATTCAGTGCCCCAAAAAACACACTTGGGCCAGAAAGTAATGCCTATGGCGATTTAAGGGGTTTTCTAAATAGTCAAGTTCACTGTGTAATTTCGTTAACTTTTTTGGGGGATTTGCAAACCTATACATTTTTGGAATCTGTGTGGTACAGGCAATCAGAAAACCAATGTTTACAATTTGCCGGAAGCATGCATGGCGGCCATCTTGGATTTTCAAAATGGCCGCCTTCAAAATGGGTGTTTCTCAATATCTCAGCATCCAGGTGGCCTAGAGTCATGATTTTAACGGCTAAACATACATTTTCAGGGGTGAGGAAGCCAGTGGTACAAAGTAAAATAAGCTAAACATAACCACAAAGCGGCCATCTTGGATTTTCAAAATGGCCGCCTTCAAAATGGGTGTTTCTCAGTATCTCAGCATCAAGGTGGCCCAGAGTCATGATTTTAACGGCTAAACATACATTTTCAGGAGTGAGGAAGCCAGTGGTACAAAGTAAAATAAGCTAAACATAACCACCAAGCGGCCATCTTGGATTTTCAAAATGGCTGCCTTGAAAATTGGTGTTTCTCAATATCTCAGCATTCAGGTTTCCTAGAGTAATGCTTTTAACGGCTAAACATACATTTTCAGGGGGGAGGAAGCCAGTGGTATAAAGTAAACTCAGCTAAACATAACCACAAAGCAGATTTTCATGTTCATTCCATTAGGCCCCCCCCCCCCCCAAAAAAAGTCTCCGGTTTCTGGTATGCGCGCGCGTCGCCGTAGCCATGCGCGTCGGCAAAATGAAAACGTTTTTTTTTCAATACAAGATGATGTCTCAAAACCGCCAAACTCACTGGTTTGACTGGAATCCTGCTGCTTATTCTCGATTGTGCATCGAGAATAAGCTTTATGTGGCCTCTCTGGATTCCCATATATTTGCACTAAGTTTAGTCGGGCACCATTGCAGTCATCAGCCGACATGTGAAGCCAAAAAAAAAAAAAAACAGGTAAAAAAAAAAAAAAAAGCCGAGTCGCCGCACCACTTTTGGGGCAAGCTCCATACCAGAAACCGGAGACTTTTTGGGGGGGCCTTATAATACATTTTTAAATGGCTCAAAACTTCTACATGTAGCAAGTCAAACCTCTAGCATGTCTAGGCAGCTTCTTGGACAACTTCAATATCATGATAGCATGACAAAATAAGTGTGGTATAACAAAATCTTTGTTATATAGCAGAATCTTTACACATCATAATCATCACTGTCGCTGGTCGGCAACATGTCATTCCTAGAGTCCTCATCATTCTGGCACTGGGTGCTGCACTGGCAGAGGTCTGTGCATGATAAGTTCTTGGACCTGCAAGAGCATCGAGATGTTGAACAGTCTGCTCTGCACTGGCATCTCACCATCTCAATGATGGCCTTGGGGGCTTGGAGGACCTTAGTTGTGATTGGCTTCACCTGATCAGCTGTGTCCTTGTAGAAGCCATGCTGCAGCGGATCCAGGAACTGCTGCTGAGCAATGCTTGCCTGGCCCCATACTGTGGCCTGGATCTGGACTCGGTGGATGTGCTGCTTGAGAGCACCAAGGGTGGGAGGCAGCTTGTCACTTGCAGCCATATGCTTGCAGAAAAGATGCCATCGCAGCTCAGGGATGCTCGCAATCTGGATGCCCTTTGGCGCGTATGCAGCACAGACGAATGTAGCCAGTGTTGACAGCAGCTCTTCAGTGACTTCAGCGGCATCTGAAAGCATCTGCAGAGCATTGATGACTACTCCGCCTGCTTTGAGGTAGACTTTCAGCCAGGTTGCCTTTCCTATGCGAGAGAACCTCCCAGTGTTGTCTGCCCCCGTGAATGCGTGGAAGGCTGGCAAAGCCTTTGCTCCTTCTGGACCTAGATCTGTCCATATTGGCTGCACTTGGACCACTCCGGAAGCCATTGACATGGACGTGTTTCTCAGCAGAAGGTCATAATGTGCTACGACCAGCACCAGAACATCAGTGTCTGGGGAGAAGACAACCAACTCTGCATCAGGTGGGTTCCTCTGTGATGCCAGCACTGCATGATAGATTAGCAGCGTGTCCGCCTCTTCGTGATTGTTGTCCTCGATTAGCAGCTCGCTATTGCTCTTAGTACGTCCTGCGGCAGATGCGATAACCAGCTTTGACGAGTCTTGGTTGTACTCCAGGGTTTTTGCTGCCAGAAACTCAGTCAGATCAGCCTTCGTTTTGTCGTGGGAAAGGAACCGGCTCATTGGGATGTGCTTGATGCTGGTGTCATCTCTGATCTGATATTGGATCAGATCCTTCCCTTGTCTCCGTTTCTCCCTTGTGGTACTCTTCAGGGAATCAGCCTTGTATGTAACAAACACCAGAATGATCTCATCACAGTCTCTTGTGAGAGACATCAGTCTGGTATTGAAGCATTCACTGAGGTCTTTGACTGTCACTACCGTGGCTGGTTTCTTTGTTAGCTTCTGCACGACCACCATACCGTCCACCAGTGCAATTTTTCGACTTCGATGAGAATCTTCAGTGGGTGTGCAGTCTATTGTTTCTGGATCCACTGCATCGCGCTGCAGAACACTTGCATCGTGCAGCTGCTGCTGCTGATCTTCATTGGGTGGTTCTGCTAGCTGTTCCGAGCTTCTCAAGGAGGTGGATCAACTTTGCCTTGTCAGTACATGGTAGCATTGCCCCGTTTGCAGCAAACAGTGCCCTTGGTGTCAACGTGAACTCATAGTTGCCGATGGCTTTTTTCTGGTCGATGTCTCGGTTTGACCTGGCAAGGACCATCAGCCTTCCGTACAGATCCTTGGTCTCCTTCAGATCTACAGTATTGTCTCTGAGTTTCACACTGGTTTTCTTGTTGCCAGACATGAACATCTTGTTGTTGTGTTTCTTCACTGGTGTCGCATCTGCCGCAGGACATACTAGGAGCAATAGCGAGCTGCTAATCGAGGACAACAATCACGAAGAGGCGGACACGCTGCTAATCTATCATGCAGTGCTGGCATCACAGAGGAACCCACCTGATGCAGAGATGGTTGTCTTCTCCCCAGACACTGATGTTCTGGTGCTGGTCGTAGCACATTATGACCTTCTGCTGAGAAACACGTCCATGTCAATGGCTTCCGGAGTGGTCCAAGTGCAGCCAATATGGACAGATCTAGGTCCAGAAAGAGCAAAGGCTTTGCCAGCCTTCCACGCATTCACGGGGGCAGACAACACTGGGAGGTTCTCTCGCATAGGAAAAGCAACCTGGCTGAAAGTCTACCTCAAAGCAGGCGGAGTAGTCATCAATGCACTGCAGATGCTTTCAGATGCCGCTGAAGTCACTGAAGAGCTGCTGTCAACGCTGGCTACATTCGTCTGTGCTGCATACGCGCCAAAGGGCATCCAGATTGCGAGCATCCCTGAGCTGCGATGGCATCTTTTCTGCAAGCATATGGCTGAAAGTGACAAGCTGCCTCCCACCCTTGGTGCTCTCAAGCAGCACATCCACCGAGTCCAGATCCAGGCCACAGTATGGGGCCAGGCAAGCATTGCTCAGCAGCAGTTCCTGGATCCGCTGCAGCATGGCTTTTACAAGGACACAGCAGCTGATCAGGTGAAGTCAATCACAACTAAGGTCCTCCCAGCCCCCAAGGCCATCATTGAGATGGTGAGATGCCAGTGCAGAGCAGACTGTTCAACATCTCGATGCTCTTGCAGGTACAAGAACTTATCATGCACAGACCTCTGCCAGTGCAGCACCCAGTGCCAGAATGATGAGGACTCCAGGAATGACATGTTGCCGACCAGTGACAGTGATGATTATGATGTGTAAAGATTCTGCTATATAACAAAGATTTTGTTATACCACACTTATTTTGTCATGCTATCATGATATTGAAGTTGTCCAAGAAGCTGCCTAGACATGCTAGAGGTTTGACTTGCTACATGTAGAAGTTTTGAGCCATTTAAAAAATGTATTATAATGGAATGAACATGAAAATCTGCTTTGTGGTTATGTTTAGCTGAGTTTACTTTATACCATTGGCTTCTTCACCCCTGAAAATGTATGTTTAGCCGTTAAAAGCATTACTCTAGGAAACCTGGATGCTGAGATATTGAGAAACACCAATTTTCAAGGCGGCCATTTTGAAAATCCAAGATGGCCGCTTGGTGGTTATGTTTAGCTTATTTTACTTTGTACCACTGGCTTCCTCACCCCTGAAAATGTATGTTTAGCCGTTAAAATCATGACTCTGGGCCACCTTGATGCTGAGATACTGAGAAACACCCATTTTGAAGGCGGCCATTTTGAAAATCCAAGATGGCCGCTTTGTGGTTATGTTTAGCTTATTTTACTTTGTACCACTGGCTTCCTCACCCCTGAAAATGTATGTTTAGCCGTTAAAATCATGACTCTAGGCCACCTGGATGCTGAGATATTGAGAAACACCCATTTTGAAGGCGGCCATTTTGAAAATCCAAGATGGCCGCCATGCATGCTTCCGGCAAATTGTAAACATTGGTTTTCTGATTGCCTATACCACACAGATTCCAAAAGTGTATAGGTTTGCAAATCCCCCAAAAAAGTTAACGAAGTTCAATATCTGGACATAGTGAACTTGACTAAAAGAAAAAAGTGACATATTCTGGACAAATTGAGAGACATGATCAGAATGTTTGGACCCCTGTACATTTTCAATGGACCACTTTCGTGTTTGGCCGCCAGGCCCATTCATGGGCATGCATGCATGATTATGAATTTATAAGTTCATTCCATTTTATACAACACCTGAATAAATCCCCGTCATCTGATTGGTTGATCGTTGATCACATGCCATTGAATTATTCGTACCAATGCACGGCGCGCGCATGGCGCACAGCGCACAGTGCAATGGAAGTTCTATTGCACGGTGAATAGAACTTCCATTGCACTGTGTCACTGCTGCTGATAGTGGCGCTGTTTTAAATCGAGATAAATTGAATATGATTATTCTCAACCTGTTCAACAGTTTGCATTAATAAAATATGATGAACTTGTCGAACTTTTAAACAGTTTTTAACCTGAATAAATTGGCTATTAAAAGTCAACCAATCAGATGACAAGGATTTATTCAGGCGTTATATAAAACAAATAATGAATGTTTCACGTTCGTGCAATGGAAAGAATAATTTCATGAGGTGACAGATGAAATGTTCCATTCCACTCGGCTTCGCCTCGTGGAATGGAACATTTCATCTGTCACCTCATGAAATTATTCTTACCATTGCACTCACAAACATTTATTATTTGTATACCATTCCACAGTAACTAGAAGCTCCATTGCACGGTCACACTTCTGGTGTTCGGGTGTTGTATAAAACCAATAATGAATGTTTATGAGTGCAATGGTAAAAATATTTTCATTCCTTGACAAATGCAATGTTCCATTCCACGTGGCGCAAAATAGAACATTGTGTCTGTCACCTCATGAAATTATTCTTACCAGTGCACTCATAAACGTTCATTATTTGTAAACCAACCCTATAAGCACCAAATCTTTAAATTCATACAAGTCAACTTCAGTGAGATAGGTATTCACTCTTATTCACAAATGACTGTCAGTCAGGGAGATAGGTAACCAGTCTAATTCACAAGTGACTATCAGTCAGCGAGGGACAAGTTCTGGACAAGTTGCGGATAGAAGCATTCACTTTGTCCACTTTGATACAATTTCCAAAACACATCCTGGATACGAATGGAGACAGGCTCTCAATCAAGTCTTATTCACGAGTGACAGTCGGGGAGTGAGTCAATCGGGGAGTCAGTCAGGAGCACAGAGGACTATAGGCTAGCCCTCTTGGACCAGCCCAAAAAGATGAGACGTTTACCTTGAGATAGTCCAAGGGCTGGGAGGATTCTGTGCGTCTCTTCTTCTTGGGCGGCAAGTTCTCCTTGGGGAAGCGTAGGACCAGCGACTTGCGTTTGACGGTCTCCGCACTTTGGGATCGGGGGAAAAACAGAAATTTGGTAAGTTTGAGAAAAAAAGGAATTTGTTCCGTCAAAAGAAAATACTTCTGGGCAGAGTTTGAAATGGAGACACAGACTATTAATATCATGTATTTTTTTTGTGTTTATTTTTATTTAACCCCAAAATTTCCCTTAAAAAAAATCGAAAGTGTGCCATATACAGCCATGGCACTCCTGTTGAATTTGAAATTTCACTAGCTAGTTTGGTAAAACGGCCAATAACTTAACCCTTTCATGCCCACATTGTTTATCGACTAGGCTCTCCCCTGGACCAAATTGTTTGCTCAGTCATGCGGAAATCACTAGAGCGTGAACAAAATGAGCACGAGTCAAAAACTAACTTTTTTCAACCCAGATTTTCATTGCCAAGGAGTGATTAAAATCATAAATGTTGTGAGTAAAGTTTGTTCCTTATACCTTACTCTTTTATGTGATGTAAAAATGAAGTCCATACGTGCAAATATAAGAAAGTTATGCCTGTTTGTTCATCTGGTTCCATTTATCAAACTGCAAGCCATTTCACCACATGACCAAATGGCACTCCATACCTCAAATTGTGCGCGGATACTTCTGAAGCACTTTTCTCATTTTTTTTGTATGGTAACACTATGAATAAACCACACCAATAGAAAGATCCGAAAACACTCTTTCAGCTGGTATATAGTTGATGTATGGGCGGCCAAACATATCAACATGCCACCTTTCTGAAAAGTAGTGAATATATCTGTGTTGAGGGTATTTTGTGTGTGGTTTCCTGGTCGACTAAAGTCGCCCATGGGAACCAGCAGGGGGCTACTTCTTGTCGACAAAAGTCGCCCATGGCAAGGAAAGGGTTAAAGATTGATTTTTTTGTTTGTTTAGGAACAGGGCCCGTAACTACACAATCGGCAAGTAATTTGGATAGAGAAGCCACTGACTGCTCAAGGATGCTCTTGGCCAGGATGACTTTAGTCCCTTCCGTCTTGACCAGCTCGTCGTCCTCCAGCTTCCTCTCCTCCGCCTCCTCTTGCTCCTCTGTCATGGCCACGGTGACCGACGGGAGGTTCTCCTTCAGCTTGGCGTAGTTGGGGCACTCCTTGTTGGTGCGCATGTGGCCGATCAGCCCGCAGGCCCCGCACTTCATCTGGACGGAAGACAAGAAAGGTAGGGTAAAAACTGTTGGTTTCAAAACCTAGTTTCAAATCAACTTTCTGCTATATGAAACTGGCCTATGGGGAAAAAATTGGAAAATAGGCTGAACACAAATCTGTGTCCAAAATCTGGACCGTGCCGCTGTTACGCATGTACATATGTACAATACACTTCATGCCCAATTTCCGGACAGCGCCTACTGTTTTATTTCGAGATTCAAACAAAATTTTATGATGAGAAAAATGTTCAGTATTTCCATAAATTTAAAAAGCCTGAAATATGATTAGAGTAACCGACTCGTCAACAAAGAAGTTCCCTTCTTACTTGTGATAGTCGAGGAAAAAGTCTGAAAGACAAGTGCAACATTCGTGACACCATTCAACCATGTCCGTTATTCAACCAAACTCCACAAATGTACGTGGGAAAACTTGGGCAATAATGTCTTTTTCTTCCAACAACTGCCAGTGAAATCCTCAAGATCATCATCACGATTTATAAAGCATTGCATGCTGTACAACTAAATCTGAAGCCATCGAAATCGCGGAACATGTGGATTGCATTGCAGTGGAACTCCACGTGCAAAGGCCTTGAAGCTCCAGAGCTGAGCTCTAGCTGCTAGTAACAATCCTGTCATATGTTAATGCTTAAACTTATTTCCAGCCGTAAACTACTCCAATCCGGGCTTACTTATGTGCATCTACCATACAATCTGTGCACTGACGACTGGTAGAACAGACTAAAATAGGGCCCGCAGTACAGATTTCATTAAATAAATGCAGTGCTTGCATTACTGTTTTCATCAAATTCATTGAAATTTTATTTAAGAAATCAGACATGGCAGGGAAAAGATCGTCAGAAAATCGAAATTTTAGAAATAAATTTGAAGAAAAAAAGTTGAAATACAGTACTCTCTTATAAAGGTCTTGAGCTTAGTATCAATGTTCATTATTATTTACCTCATAACCTCCGCCTGTTTACTAATTAAAAAAAGTGTTCAGCCACATCAACCACAATTGACCGGTTTGCCAAAATCTCTACGGTCATGTGGAAAACTGAGGGGCATTTCATCAAAAACACGTCATGCTATTGTATCCTAAGCGTGATAAGATGTAATTCTATTGAAATGTCCGCTGAGATCACCATGTGACCACAAAGCTGGTGGCACCCATGAAACGGCCCAGGACGACATCCTACCTTGTGGATGGAAGGTTTGCGGAAACACCTTGTGCGAATAACTTCTAAACTAAGAGAATGGTTCTGAAAAAAACCAGAGGTATAAACTCGACGCTCCGGTCAGTATGCTCTGACCGTCTTCAGGAGAGTGTCTAAACTCTAAGAAAGTAAACACTTCATCGGTTTCACTTTTGCTACTTAACTATTTACTTTCTTAGAGTTTAGACACTCTCCTGAAGACGATCAGAGCATACTGACCGGAACGTCGAGTTTATACCTCTGGTTCTTTTCAGAACCATTCTCTTAGTTGAGAAATTATTCCCACATGGTGTTTCCGCAAACCTTTTATTTATTAGTATCGCCACCATGCAAAGCCTCAAATCTTACTTACCTTGTGGACCTTGGGGTCAATCTTCTTCTCCTTCTTCTTCTTGAAGACTTTGGGGGGCTTGGGATGCAGCTTCTCCTGCTCCTGCTTCTCCTGGTTGCGCTTGATGCGGCGCAGCTGCTCCTGGATGCGCCGACGTTCCTTCTTCATCTCCTCACGGTGCTTCTCGTCGTGGAGGGCAAACTGACGGCTGGACATAGAGAGACCATCAAAGGAGAAATTAAGTTTTGCCAAACTGTCCTAAATTTCTGAGAAGCGAGTCAGGTAACCATCTTGGATTTGGATGATACTTTTATTTTAAAAAAATACATCTGTGGTTCTTATGAACACCAGGTCGATGGCAAGACATGACCCCCTGAAAAATATGTTCCCACCTTTTTTTTCCCACTTTTTCTGTAGTTTCACCAACCCTTTTTGCATTTTTTGAGGAACTATATATCTCAAAATTGCAGCAAGTACCTGCCTGAAAACTGGTACATGGGGTGAATGACATCAAATTTGCACGCTTATACTCTCAGAAGTCAACTGTCTTGTTTACTTTTTGATTTACAGGCCTTAAAAAAAAAAATTATGCCGACAATTTCTGGCCCTCCGAGGAGCCCCATGGAGTCTCAACAAAGTTGTTCTCTATTTTGTTGTACATATACACTGGGCGAATACCTTTTTTTTGTCTCTGACCCAGGCCCCACGCCCCAAAATGGAGTGGTTGGTCCAACCTTTTGAAGATGTAAAGATATTTGCCCAGTGTACATGTTAATATACAACAAACAAAACAACTTGTTTGAGTTTCCATGGGGGTCGGGATGGAGGGCAAAAAATTAAAAAAAACTTGCGATGACTTGTGATGGCTCGTGATGACTTGATTACAAAAAACTTACTCTCCACTTACATGTACATCCAAATGAAATTGAAAAGTTAGGCAGTACTTTAAATGACTAACTAATTCCGACTAAAACTAATTTTGTTGGCAGAAATTGATCAGCGCAACTCACATGTAGCTCTCGTCTTTGGACTGACGGATGCGAACGTAGGTGTCGATGACTTCCGGTCTCCGGACCGTCTCGACTCTGACAAAATCCTGGCCATCTTCACCGCGAAAGGTCCGGTAAATCTTCAGCCGACGACCGCTCTAGAAAAGAAAAAAAACAAATTGAGCAAAGAAATTGACTGGGGCAGGGTTTGAACCTGCGACCTCCGGAACACTGTACTACTGCTCCGCCAACTGAGCTACTGCTCTATCAACTTATGCTAGGTTTACACATTCCCGATTTGTAAGCTGAATTGCCGCGAATAGCAGTTCTGGAGGAAATCTGGGAACGGTTCTTGGCTGCCTCGGGATGATTCTGTTAGTTCGGTGAAGATCGTTAAAGATCGGGAAGCGGCCAGACAATTTTGGATATGTTTAAAATTGTCGCAATATGTGGTCGGCCGACCAGCATTTTTCTTGAAAATGTCAGCACACCAGGAGCCACCGTTTTACACAATGCTTAAACCTGTCATTCCCTAACAATCCAGTGAGGTATATCGTGATAATTTGATCATTACGTTTTTTGATGATTGCAAATTGTATCTTCCCTTTAAGATGCCAAAGCAGCTGCAACACTGTTGCTTCTGCCTTGAACTTGAATGACATGACATTTTGGCTGGTTTTTAATGAGAAAAACCTCGCTCGAAGTGAAGATCTGACTGCCACAAAAAACATGTAATGGAATTCAGTAACAAGACAACAAAAATGTGAGAGTGATTTCTCTGTTTTTCTCAAAGTGTCCAGTAGCCACCGAGCTAAAGTTTTGAATTATGTTGTAGTCGAGACCCTGCAAGACCATCACAAGACCTTCACAAGACCTTCAGTCTCAATTCAAGTCACAAGCTATTCAAATGAACTGCAACAAAGGCATTCCTTTGTCATTGTTCATGCCCTGTTACTTGTGGCTGGTCTTGTGGCTGGTTTTGAGTCTGGTCTTGTGATGGTCTCGGCTGCAACACTGGTTTTAAAAGGTTAGTTGTTATGTTCCCTCCTTAAACTTTTAAGCAATTTTGTTAACTTGCTACAAACGTACAAAAAATTAACATAGAGCTTAAGATCCTATGTATCTTTAAAGGTACAGTCCATCATTTGTAATTTGTGCATTTTGTTCGTTTGAAGCAACAACCGTGCTCAAAATCTAAAAAAGGGTGCTGAACAACTAACCTGATGAACTTTCAGCTCAGCTTCAGCTGTATATTCTGATAAAAACAGCATTCTAGGATCTCGATTTCAAATCAAAAGTTGCTGAATCATGTTTTGAATTGGGCCTGAATTCAGCCTCTGAGACACGTTCTCACTGAGCTGATTGCAGCTATGCGATGTCGCGCACTGATACGACGAATTATAGCAACCGCACGCGCGTGTGCGTCGTGTCAAGGCTTGCGCGAGCTTCGCGAAGAAATAAAACAACGAAATACTAACGGAAATTTCCAACGATGTGTCTTTAGACGCACCGTTGGAAAGGCCTTCTTTCGTTGTTTTCTTCAAAATGACAGCTTGCCAGAAAGAATAATTTCACAGGGAGTTTAGCCCCCTTACTATCTTTCAACCAAGTATGTTTTTCATCAATAATTACGTCAGTTACTCTTTGGATAGCTGCAAATGATGGAATGTAGCTTTAACTGGCTAACTGTGTTGAGTTCAGTCTACAAAACTTTCCATGAAAAGCATGAAGTTTCCTAGAGTCAACATTCTCTCCTTTTCTGAGAGACAGTTCAAAGACAATCCTCGGGGCTAGGATTAACCAGTAACTCTGGCAAAATCCTACTAAATCCTCTAAGATTACACAGAACACTGATCTCAAGGTTTGCACCGAGGCAAAAAAAAAAAATAGAGAAGAGAAAGACGTGTAGATGATGGAACGTGATAAATGAAGGTCTCTGGTGTGTTTCCACAAACGATACGACACAAATCTGGAAAGAGCAATGGTCTTGCATCTGTCAATCACACACTTTTCATTGAAATGTCAATGTTCTTTTGGGGGACACGTTTCTTGAGCACAAATACCGGTAGCTAGTTAAAGGTACATATACATAGGATCATTTGCTTCACGTGCATTTTTTTCAGTGGAAGCAACAAAATCGCACAAAGTTGGGTGCATAAAAATCTAACTTGTTGCAAAGATGAAAATGGCCATTGGGAAAAAAAATCGGCAAATATCGGTAGGCCGAACAAAAAAGCATGTCCGAAATCTGGGCCACGCCACAGTTACACATGTACAATGTACATGTATGTATGCACAATAAACTTCATGCCCAATTTCCGGACACCACTTCCTGTTTTGTTTTAGATCCAAAAAAAATTTACGTTAAGAAAAATATCCAGTGTTTTCATAAAATTAAACAGCCTGAATTACGGTTAGCGTAACGGACTCGTCGACAAAGAAGTTCAATTCTTACTTGAGAACGTCAAGGAAAAAGTCCGAAAGATAAGTAGGCCATGCACAACATTCAATCGTGTTCATGATTCCGAATCCACTAATGTACGTGGGAAAAATTGGGCATTATCGCCGTTTTCTTCCAACAGCCATCAATTACGCCCTTTTCGCCATCCTCAAGATCATCATCGTGATTTTGAAAGCATTGCTTTTTGTACAACTAAATCTGAAACCTCCAAGATTTGCGCAACAAGTGGATTTTATTGCAGTCCACACGCAACAGCCTTGGAGCTCTGTACCTGTATGTACGTACCATAGCTAGCTAGCAACTGTAGTTTCAATCGTGTCATATGTTAATACTTAAACTTATTTCCAGCCGTAAACTACTCCAATCCAGGCTTACTTATGTGCATCTACCATACAATCTGTGCACTGACGACTGGTAGACCAGATTAACATTGTGCTCGCAATACAGATGTCACGGTGCCATATTCATCAAATTCGTTGAAATTTAATTTTGAAAATCGGACGTTGCACGAAAAAGATCATCAGAAAAATCGAACTTTTAGGAAATAAATTTGAAAACAGTCACCTGATTGCTTTTGACTGAAAGGACAACTTGGCACAGAATGTATGTTTGCATAGGAGGATTAATTAACATAAAACAAAATATTTTTAAAAAAATGACTTACAAATGATGATCCAAAGCTGTGCATTGAGTTGAGGTCGTCATCCCGTGTGGAGGGGCCTGCCCCTGGGGTGGGGGTGTTGGCACCATTCTTGGGCCCCCCACCCTCCTTGCCTTCTCCCCTGCTGGTGCTGGCGCTGTCCCCCATCAGCATGCGCTGGAGCTCACGTCTCTCCGCCTCCTCCCGCTCATGGGTCAACTGTAATTTTATAATAAAAAGAAAAAATTAGCTTATTTTAGGAAAGGTTGTTTAAAACTGCTTTTGGAATCTGGAAATAGGCGACTTATTTTACTGTTAGAATTAAAATTGATCTCCCTGTGCTATTTTTTTAATTTTCATCCCAAATAATACTTTTTTTAATTTCCTTCAAAGGGACACTACATCCTGGAATGCGCCCAATTGACCTATCGCGGTAGAATCGCATCAGAATCGTGTCAATGCAGCTTGTGAAATATTGTCCAATTACATGATATACAAATGGACGCGGAACGCTCAAAATCTGAGACAAACAGAACTTGGTATACAAAAACTCCATAGGATTGTCCAAGGGGCATGGCTAACTCGCAAACGGCGATAGGCTAATTGCTCTACAAAATGCATTTTAAACGAAATGATATTAATTAGAAAGAGCATTTAAAAGCAGAATATAAACGTCCATACTACAGGCATGCAACTGGGAAATCACAAAAAAAGAGGAAATTCAAATTTTTCCCAGACTTTGTACAGTGTTTTTCTATTTTCAATGGCACACATGGGAAGTAAAAAAAGAGGAAATCAGCTGATCCGAGGAAAAGTTGCATGCCTGATACTACCATTCCTCTGTTATTCTTGCGAGAACGGATTTCGGGGGTCAAAACTTTGAATCTCAAAAAATGTCAAATTTGTTATCAAGGATCTCCTAAATCTGAATGGTAATTGGTCCAACTTTAGAAAAATAGCAGTAAAATAGGGGAGAAGAGTGACGTCTTCTTCTTTTTTGTTACTAGAAATTGTCAGTTACTTGAAATTGGAGAAAGCAAATCAGAAATTAGGGCTGTCCATTTTCGAAATGTATTCAATTACTCGAAACTGGGTTTCACCAAATATTTTAATATTCAAAACTGCCAGCTGCAACTGCATGCCGCGCCAGTCAAAAGTTGCATGTAGAGGGCACCAGTTAAAACTTGTGTTTGGCGATGGATATGGAGTGTTTTGGAGTATATTATAACTGTCAAGGACTTTAACCTGCTAAAAAGATAGAAACAATGAACCGCCGTCGAAAAACAAGTCATTGTTGACAAAAGAAAGTGGCACCTGATAATAAAATGATGTAACTTTATAACAAAGTAACATCACAGTCTTGAGTGTATATTCGGGTTTTGTTTTAATATTCAAAAACTATTCAAATATTTGATTGACGATCGAATATTCGAATATTCCGTATACTTGGAACAGCCCTGGCAGAAATGTGACCAAACCCTAACAAAATTCATCTCAAGTCACCTGACGGTTACTACGGTTACATTTGAGTTACTGAACTGTTCACAAATCCCGGACATCGGAAATTTAGAGGCAGAGTCAATGTTTCTACTGCCACAATATCTATTTTAAAAGTTCAGCAAAGAAATTGACTGGAGCAAGGATTCTGCACATGTACCTGCAACCTCAGGATTGCCGTTCCGGTGCTCTACCAACTGAGCTAGCCAGCCCTATGTTGGCGGTTCTCCATTTCGTCAATATCTTTGTTCAAGGGCACTAGTCAGACGCCATGGTTTGTGGTACATTATAAGTGACCGGCTCCACAAAAAAGGGTATTATGTCACAAAAAAATGAAATTTAAAAGCCCACAACGTAAGCTTCATTTGGTACAGAGCTTCATAGCTCCTCCCGTTCTGAAGACATATTAATTACTTCCTTGGAGTTCAAATTACACAACTGAGAAAACAGGCTTTGAAATAGCGGGCTCTGTTGTAGAACAACAGAACGATGCACACAAAATAATCAATTTTTTCTGTTTTATTCATCAAAATCAACATTTCTGCTAGTGAACCTAAAACTGTAGGTAATGAAGATGTAATGAAGATGTCATGTATGACAAAAAATGAAAATCACATTTTGACAACATTTTCACCCTCTCAACATTGAGGGAATCATTACACGATAATGCACTGCGCGACTTAATACCCTTTTTTTGTGGAGCCGGTCACATATTTGAAAATACATAATATCTGCATATATTTAGATGTCACACTAATACAACATGAACAGTCGTTGTTTGCTCTTTCCACTGTACAATGTACGTGAAATTTTAGGATCCAGTATAAAGTCTAGCACACAGTCACACAATTGACCTATCGCCGTTTGCGAGTTAGCCATGCCCCTTGGACAACCCTGTAGAATGTTGTACGTTAAGCAGGGTGACCATTTTAGCCGATTTTTGGCTAACTTTGACAGAATTTTCGTTTAAAAAACGAGTTTGACAGAAAATTTGACAGAATGTTTTTTTGGGCAGATTTCTGGCAGAATTCTGCAAAAATGATTATTTGACAGAAAAACAGCGAATTTGAACAAAAAAGTGTACATTTGTTTAAAAAAGCTTCAATCCTTTGAAACAAACCCTTGCATAATGGGACAGGTTGGCTGGTCTAGGTGCTGAGGTTCACTACGAAACGGACTTCATCGTGGCCGGATCCGTGTATTTCCCAAAATTTACCAATAATTTCACAACATCTTTATGTGACTAGATTGTTTGTTATGTAATTTGAATCTTAATTTAAGGCAATACTACCAATCTGCATGTGATTTTAAGTGTTTATAGTGAATTTCGAGTAATTCTGGGGAATTGACCTTACGGTCACCCTGGCATTAAGTTTTGCTTGTCACAGATTTTGCGCGTTCCGCGTTCATTAGTACTATCATGTAATTGGACAATATTTCACAAGCTGCGTTGACGGGATTCTTTCGCAATAGGTTAATTCTCGGAGGGAAATTGATACACAAATGAAGTGATAAATTACTTCTCACAAACTGTTGTTTTCACAGCAACTAATAATTCCCTGTTATTGCTTTCAACATAATTCCCCACAGAAATTACTCGGAAATATCTTCATCCACGTTGTGTAATCACAGGGCCTAGGGGAGGCCTAATATTTCCCTGTAATTGAATTCTTCAACAATCCGATCCGAGATATCCTTCTCGAAAGCAGGAAAGCGCTACGAAAATAAAATCCTGCCAAACGATGCTCAAGCCAACTGTCTCCGAGCATGGAATTACCGTGCGGAATTTCGTCACGAAGCCGGTGTCTAAAAAAAAGGCCAGATTTACAAGCAATCTTTGGCAAGGTTAGCAGTGTGTGGGAAGGATAATCCCTCGTCCGTAGAGCCCCGGTTTGGATTACACTAATCTCTTGCCAGTTGTTAATCCTCTCGGGGAATCAGGATGACTAAAATAACCCCAGGCTTTTCAACCTCGTTCCCGGGTCTACGTTGACCAAGACGATAGCTAACCCCGGCAGGGAAGCTTGCCTCGTGTATTCTGATTCGATCCCTCAACAGCGAATAATGAGTTTTATATCGTGTACTGTCCAATGTATATATGAATTATTGTAAAGTTTGTTATGAAATTACAATGTACGTCCTATCCTTCTCAATAATCCAGTGGCTTAAGGAATACATCGTGACACGCCGGATTAAAGCGCAAAATTTGGTACACTTACTGTATAGATAGTAAGTATAGATACTATGCAGTATTGTACACCTTTTGAACTTTGACCTTGGTCTGACCTTGACCTAGACTGCCAAAACTGGGCACCCCTCTAGAATATCTTCTAGGAACCTATAGAGTGTACCAAATTTGGTGCTTTAATCCGGCGTGTCACGATCTTCCCCAAAATTAGCTCTAAGCCACCGGATTACAAAAACAACCCTCCCCTTTCCATTTTTTGCGTATAATCATATTTTCTTTATGGCTTCTGACCAGCACCCCTTGAACAAATACATTGCCAAAATTGGGGACCCGCCAACATAGGGCTGGATAGCTCAGTTGGTAGAGCACTGGAACAGTAATCCGCAGGTCGCAGGTTCAAACCCCACTCCAGTCCATTTCTTTGTTTAATTTTACAAAACTTAAAATCATATTTAGTGTAATACTGCACGTAGGATGGGTAAGGATATAACATTCAACTTTGAATTTTTCTGTACCTTGTCATAATGTGCAAGATTTTTGAAGATGGGACATTCATCAACTCGGGGTCCACTTTTTTTTCCCCTGTCCCTGTTGCATCTGACATTTAGATTTTATTATAATTCTGATGCATTCCTTAACCCTAACTCCCTACGCATTTTTGCTAGGATGCAACCTCAATCCTGCACAATCCTCCAACTGCCTACATGTAAAAAATTGCATACAGCCTCAATCCTGCAAAATCCTCTGTTATTTCTTGAATGTGGCCCTTGGAGGGGTAACCACTGCCTCAATGCTACCTTGTGTTGTTTATGCTCAGCCGTGCATAAATTTAGGCCTAGATTATACTTGAAATCCTCCGCACCGCCCCAGGATGCCACTGGCTCTGCCTCAACATACCGACAGTGATTGCTGGAGGATTCTGCAGGATTGAGGCAGTGGTCACCCCTCCAAGGACCACATTCAAGAAATAACTGGAGGATTTTGCAGAATTTGGGGCTGTATGCTATGTTTACATGGAGGCAGTTGGAGGATTTTGCAGGATTGAGGTTACATCCTAGCAAAAATGCCTAGGGAGTTAGGGTTTTAATAAGGGAATAAATGTGTGTTTCGGAGGTATTATAACACTCTGTTTAAAACCGGTGTGAGTCTGGATGGGTGATAATTACCCGAGGCGAAGCCGACGATTTCTAGAATGACCCACAATACCGACGGAACACATATTTATTCCCATTCATAAATACCTTTTTGGTCAAAAAAATCATTTCGGTCCAAAAATCAAAACAAGTCAAAAACTAGACGTTGCTAACCATTTTGTTCAATAATTTGACTTCATGTTTTACGAAACACCCCTCTGACTATAATATGAAATGCCCCTCCACAATTGCGTGCGCGTCGCGCATTCTACCTCCATGGTCGTGCGTACTGCGCGATGTCGCGCAAAACGCAGCTGAGCTGGAGTAGTGTGAATATCGGACTATGAAATAATGATTCACTGGCAGTATTGCGCATGCATACGTGGGGAATTTGAACGTTCAACCAAAGAAACGTAAAAGGCACTGGATTTCATGGGAGTCAAAATTTCATGTGACAGTGGAAAAGTGTTTAAGACCAGCTAGCCATGTCTTTATCATCCGTTTAAGACCGGCCACCTGACAGACAGGCTGTCGACCAATAGGAATGCGTTAACGGTCTTAGGTATTTATGAATGATTACAAAGTACACAGGTAACTAAAACAGGAAACATGTCAAACTTTGGACCCTCAATTTCTAGAATGACCCACAAGCAAATGATGCAGTCATGCCAGTACCATGGAGACAGAGCAGCTAGTGGGAGCATACTGTACGACGACATGGAGACGAGGTTGCAAGTTTCTCCAAAAGTGCACTATCACATTATCACATCCCCCGGGGCACGAATTAAAACGCATTAGCAAAGACAGAGAGATACGGTTGATGAATTTCATTGAGGCAACGTGTCCGGGCTGTTGTTTTTTCAGACAGACATGTAACTTGATGAGCGAGGCATTTACTTTCTTAAGCTGTGTCTTAATTGAGGGTACTTGCCGCAAGCAGGAAATTGAGATACAATAAAAGAGCAAACAAGCGTGGATATTTGCAACCCGATAGTCCCAATGTGACAGCAAGGAGGGTTTTCTTTTTCCAGGATGCTGTACCGAGAGTGGGTTGATAATTACTTTACCAGAATGGCAAGGACGCAAACGATGCATCAGAATTCAGTTAATTAAAAAACTCCAGTTTTTTTAAATTAAAGACGTCCACTTTTTTTGGGAGGGGGTGGGGGCTTGCAGTGGATTCTAAATGCTGTAAAAAAAAAATGATTTCCATATGGTCACCATTGCAATAAACTGTTAAGTTATTTAAAAGATCAATGGTTATAGGAACAAGTTTTCCATTATTATTATTATTATTAACTTTCTTCACATTTTACGGCACTAGAAAATATATACATTAGTAACTCTTATTCTTTTAATTTGTATGTATTCAAAACTTGCATCATTTAATTGTAGGGCTGTCCCGTCTATATCGAATACTCAAATATTCGATTATCTACCGAATACTCGAATATTGGATTATCAACCGAATATTCAAATAGTTGTTTGCTGGTTTGAATGTTCAACACACAAAAAACACATAATGCACATACACACGACTGTGATGTAAGTTTATTGTAAAGTTGCAGTGCTTTATTGTCGAGTGTCACTTTTTTGGTTTATGGTATCTTTATTGTTGACAGCGATTCATTGTTCACCTCCTTTTAGCAAGTTAAGGACCTGTCACACTGTCACGTCCATGCATGGCATTCAAATTGCATTGTTAAAATTCTTTAAAATATAACAAAACGCCACGAAGACGCAGGATTCATGGCGCCGGTGGCTTGCAATGCGTCTCTGTGAAGTCCACAGAAAGTCTAAGACGTCCCTGTGGCGTTCTATAGCGTTCTTGCGGCGTTCTCTACAAGTTCCATTGAAGACCAATTAGAAGTCTGCGCGGCGTCCTCTGCGTCCTCGTGGCGCCCTCATGGAGTCCAAGAAGTTCGTACGACGTTCTTGGAGTCCTTATCACACGCTTGATGCAACCCTAAAACGTATGTGTTGCGCCAGCAGCCAGAAGCCCGGTGTGTATAAATACTTGGGCCAAAACGGGAAATAGTCATTGAGTTTTCGCATTTTGAACGGCACAGACGCAGGAGACGCAGAGAAGACTCGCAGTCCTGATGCATGTATACACGTCTGGCTCCTGTCTGCCTGCGCGTTGCCAGCACGTCACGGCCATTCGCGAGGAGTTTGCGCAGAGTCCTTACGGCGTTCTGGTCAAAATGTTGAGGCGCGGCGTTTGTTTTGTGCATGTCCAAAACAAACGTGACAGTTTGCCGTTCAGCGAAGTCCTTGGAGCCCCTCTGAATTCCTCAACTAGTATCAATGAGTCCCCACGCCGTCATCTGCGTTCTTACTGCGTTGTAGTCAATTTTCTTGGTCGCGGTAAGAACTCCATGCCAGAACGTGACAGTGTGACAGGGCTTTTAAAGCCCTTATACAGTTACAAAATGCTTGCTGAAAAACACTCAAATGCCCTATTTTGATCGCCTCATGTCAATTGTAACTGGCACACTCATGCAACTTTTCACCGGCACAGCACGCAGTTGAAGCTGGCAGTTTCGAATATCCCAATATTCAGTCAAACACAGTTTCGAGTAATCGAATACAAAATTTTTCAAAAACGGACAGCCCTATTGTCCCCCCCCCCCAAAAAAATAGAAAAAAATAAATGTTTTTCTATTTCAGGCATTTGCAACCCTTTGCAAAAAGGCTTCCATGATGGGATGTTGTTGTGCCCGTTACGAAGAAATGGATCTGCCTGAAATATTGTCAGGACACAACTGATTCAAAATGTGTAATTAAACGTCAGCAGATTTTTTTGGGTTCACTATCTCATTAAAAAATTAAATACTTTTGAATTGCTACTTTAAAAAAACACAGGAATGAGCAACCTTATGGGCTCCGTGCGCCAACGAAAGAGGGCGCCCTTTTAGCTAGCAACTTATGTCCCATGGGCGGGACATTTTGCAAGTTGACGAGCACTGTTCCTTGTGTGTGACACACGCACACCAGGGGATTTGTACTATGTGCACGCATTGGAACGGCCGCGCGTCACGGCAAAATTGCAGTCAGGCAAGATGGCGTCGTTCGGTCACTCCCAACTGTACTTTATTTGCCGGTGAGGGGGTACTTGTGAACGGAGCGGATAGAGTTTGCATCTTGAAACCAACAACACTTTTTACTATTATTCCAATAGCAAATGTGTCAAACCTATCTAGTCATTGTAGGGGCATATCAAGAATGAAATGATTTCAAAATTGCTTGAGCTGGGTAGAGATTCAAAAAAAATACTGAGTTAAACTGAACTTTAGCAGACAAAAGGTGAACCACGACGTTTGAAAAGTGAATCACAATGTTTGAAAACAGAAACAAGACGGAAAGTTGTCCTGTTGAGCAATGAAGCTGTTTTCTCAACATGGCTCAGGGTGACCGTACGGTCATGGCCAAATTCTGCTCAATGCAATTCTAAAATCTGTCAGATTCATCAAAAATCTGCCAAATTCCCCAGAATTACTCGAAATACACTCTAAACACTTAAAATCACATGCAGATGTTGTAGTATTGCCTTAATTGAGGTTCAAATTACTTTATGAACAATCTATAGTCACATAAAGATGTTATGAAATTGCGTAAATTTCAAGCTAATCTTCCGTCACGACAAAGTCCGGTTCCCAGTGAACCTCAGCACCTAGACCAGCCAACCTGTCCCTTTATGCAAGGGTTTGTTTGAAGAGATTGAAGCTTTTTTAAACAAATGTACCATTTTTCTTCAAATTTGCGCTGTTTTTCTGTCAAATATCCATGTTTGCAGAATAGGTCTCGTCCAAATGACGTCATTTTCTACAGAGCAGCCACGTGCATCAGCATTTTGAGCATCAACTTGCATAACGCGATGCGTCGTATTTCGAACACACTTCGAGCAACAAGCGTGCGTGTTTGGAACATTTTCAACACTGCACAATGCGTGCTTGATTGCATAAAGCACAGTTGCAGTTCTCCTAAAGAGATGGCCGTCATTGGGCAAGCCCTATTCTGCCACATATCTGCCCAAAAAAATCCATTCTGTCGAATTTTCTGTCAAACTCGTTTTTTAACAAAAAAATCTGTCAAAGTTAGCCGAAAATCAGCTAAAATGGTCACCCTGCTTCCAATTTTCTCGGCCTTTGGTCTCTATGCAATAATTATATAGGCATCAGAGTCTTGTACCCACCTGTGTACTGGTCTTCTTGTTGGACAGCATGCTCTCAATGTTCTTGCCCATCTCCTCAAAGTCGCTGTCATCTCCCGAGCTGCTGTCTTCATCGGTCGACAGCACCTCGTCTGAGGCTAAGACTCTGAATTACAAACAAGTTAAATATAATCATAAGAGTCAACAAAGGCAAGTCACTTGACCGATCAATTATTTATTATGCATTGGGCATCACTGGGTGTGGGGGGGGGGGTGCAGGAAGTGCCACCTCTGTCAGCCGAATTGTGTGTCTGTCGGCAAATATGTCGTAACAAATAGCGCCACATATCATCTGAAAGTTTCCAAGATCGTCCGCTTTGAACAGAGCCCCAATAGTCACAGGTGTTCAATGCCAACCAAAGCCCGCCCCCAACCCCCCCCCCCCCCCACCCATTTTGTGGGGGATGGGCGACCAAAAACAAATTTCAGCACTGAGCGTCCGTCGGCAGATTTGTTGTAACACCACCACCCCCCATCAATTTGGTCAAGCAACACCCCCGACTGGTTTCAGAATCATGAACATTTTGATGTTATGACCCTTCAGCGGGGCATGGAGCAACAGGGGCCTTAAAATCTAACAAATGTTGAAGATGGAGGTTCCGAGAAAAAAAAACATCACTCAAACATTCTGAAATGAGACTGGTTAAATATTCGTTGTTCAGAACTTCAACACGGACTCCATGCGCAGGTACCCACTCATCGGTTACAGAGACAGAGTTGGGTGGGACCACTCATATTTCAATTGGATAGACCCTTCACACATAGACGCTTAAGGTTTGTGCACTTTCAAATAAGAATTTTGTTCACACATATTTCAAGCCATATGCGCGCAAACCAATGGGTGTCAAAAAGTGCACGCACCGAGTCCATTACTGCATGTAAAACAAGCTCGGTCGGATCTCTGAAGCTGCGGGCCGACAACTTTGTGTTCACCTTATTTTGACCTTTGACCCCATAACTGAAGGTCAGATAAAGAGGTCACCATGGGCAATTTTTAATGTTTGACCAAGGCCAACATGTTGACAGCGGTACTTTTGTCATGAGCTTCTTTGAAATTTGACTTATTTGGACCTTTGACCCCATAGCTGTAGGTCAGACGAACAGGTCACCATGGACATTTTTAATGCTTGGCCAAGGCCAACATGTTGACAGCGGCACTTTTGTCATTTGACCTTCTTTTGACCTTTGACCCCATGACTGAAGGTCAGATAAAGAGGTCACCATGGACATTTTTTAATGCTTGACCAATGCCAACATGTTGACAGCGATACTTTAGTCATCTGAGCTTCTTTGAAATTTGACCTATTTTGACCTTTGACCCCATAACTTGTAGGTAAGACAAAAAGACCACCATGGACATTCTCTTACGTTTGACCAAGGCAACATGTTGACAGCGCTACTTTTGTCACTTGAGCTTTTTTGAAATTTGACTTTATTGTGACCTTGACCCTGCGATGACCTTTGACCCCAGTTTAGTCACGTGACATATTGGGGCTGGACTACTGATACTTTTGACAAAGTTTGGTTGACATTGGTCAAAATATGTAGGAGCAATAGACAATAATAACGTTTATTACTAACTAACGAACGAACTAACTAACGAACATATGGACTAACGGAGAGACATGATGATTCGTTGAGCCGCTACCCGCAGCTAAAAACTGAAGAAGATCAAGAATACGTGAAAGCCTCACTTGTTTTGTAAGTCGAATATCCTCTGGCACTCCTCCTTGTAGCGCTCTTGGTGCTCAGCGATGCCGAAGCGGTTACCGCGAGCAAACTTGGAGGTGGAGGTCTCCCCCATCTTGGCCTGCTGGGTGGAGTAGGTGCGCACCACGTCGATGACCTCCCAGCGAGATAACTTCTTGATCTGAAGAAGAAAATGCCCCCCAATAAGATAAGGATAACTTCACAATACAGTAGAATGTCACTGTTTAAGAAGATTGTTTCATACATTGGTTTTTGTGAGTTTTATTTTTTAGGACTGGAATAATTGTACATATATTGGTCATCAGTAAGGCCAAAAAAAAAAATTTTTCGGTCTCTGGTCAGACCAAAGTTCCGGAATTGACGCGGGGACGCGGCTTTTTTTCTTCTTCTTCAAGCTTGGATTGTACAGACAAGGTGGGGTACTATTTTGCTTTTTTGGTGTCCTCATGTACATTGGTGTCCTCCATAATTTGCCTTGGTGCTCTCGATCATTTGCCTTGGTGCAATTTCCCATTCCTTGGTGCTCTTTGGTAAAAAAAAATTGAGGAGGTGCGGCAGTAGAGGGCGCTGTTGGAGCTACCGCAGAACATTTTGGAAAAAAAAAGATTGACGCACATGATTAAAATCGACGCGCGCGCTGACCAGAGACCGAATTTTTTTTTTTTTTTGGCCTAAAACTAACTACCAAAGTTTTTGTTGGGATCTCTAAAATCTATCACTGACCAGGAATTTCATAATGGGGTAGGTATCCTTCCTGCAATCTTAGCGTGAATAGTGGTAACTACTACAAGTGGTAACTCTACTACACAACTTTCATGTAATTTGCTGACATTCAGAGGTTTATGAAATATTTATTTTTTGGGGAGGGGTTAATCGAGTTTTGGAATAATGCTTCAAACATTTCAAACATGACTCTCATGAGGAAGGTTGGTGAACGTCTTTTGAAGAACTCCACAAGCATGGAACAGAATTACAAAGTTTCAACAAATTCACACGATTCAGTTTTCACACTTGATTACCAGTAAGCCAATGTATCAGCTTAAAGGTAGAGTACATATCATTTGTCATTTGTGCATTTTTTTTCGTTTGAAGAAACAAAAGAGCTCAATATCTAAAGAAGGGTGCTTAGCAACTAACCTGATGAAGTTTTAGCTCAGTGAATGCTGTATATTCAGAGAAAGCAATATTCTAGGATCTCAATTTCAATTTAAAAGTTGCCGAGTCATGTTTTGAATTGCGCCCAAAATCAGCATCCGCGACATGTTCTCATTCAGCTGATTGCAGCACGCGATGTCAGGCACTGTACGGACAAATTATAACCACCACGCACGCCTGTGCGTCATGTCAACGCTTGCGAATACACATTCACGGCTTTGCCGTATTAAAAAACGAACGACTAACAGAAATATCCAAAAATGCATCTTTAGACGCATCTTTGGAAATGACATTCTCTTTTTGTTTTCTTCAAAATGACAGCATGCCAGGAAGAGTAATTTCACAGGGAGTTTGGTGCCATTTCCATCTTTAAACCAAGTATGCTTTTCAACAATAATTTCGGCAGTTACTTTTTGGATAGCTGCAAATGATATACTCTACCGGTACCTTCAAAAAAGTGCCAGCTAAAGGCAAAGAGCCCGAAATGGTGCCGACGGTACTAAAGTCAATGATTTGCTATATACAGGGCATCAAAGAAATTTAGCTAACACTCTAGTTAAGTATTAATTAAACTTAAAGCAACAGTCCATCATTTGCAGCTATCCAAAAAGTAACTGGCGTAATTATTGTTGAAAAACATACTTGGTTGAAAGACAGTAAGGGAACTAAACTCCCTGTGAAATAATTCTTTCTGGCATGCGGTCATTTTCAAGAAATCTACGAAAGAAGGCCTTTCCAACAATGCGTCTCAAGACGCATCGTTGGCAATTTCCGTCATTTTGTATTCGGCGAAGCGTTGACACGACGCACACAGGCGCGGTTGCTATAATTCGTCAGATCAGTGCATAGCTGCAATCGGCTCAGTGAGAACGTGTCTTGGACGCTGAATTCAGGCCCAATTCAAAACATGATTCAGCAACTTTTGATTTGAAATCGAGATCCTAGAATGCTGTTTTTCTCGAAATATACAGCTGAAGCTGAGCTGAAACTTCATCGGGTTAGTTGTTCTGCACCCTTCTTTAGATTTTGAGAACTTTTGTTGCTTCAAACGAACAAAATACACAAATTACAAATGATGGACCGTACGTTTAAAAGAAAAACTACAAATTTAACATTTTAGGTCCTGCAACAATGGTAATATACAGATATTTAGTCATTTATTTTTCCAGTAATTTATCAGATGAGCCAGCAATACAATTGTTGTATAGGCTTACATCTTCCTCCGAGATGCCAAACTTGCGCAGGAGTTGCTTGGCCTGCTTCAGGTTAAGACGTCGGAGATCAGCGTCCGTGCCTGTCACTGTCTTCTTGGCTTGCTGGGGAGAACTAGTGTCATCCTATGAGATAAAAAGACAGATGTGAGGGGGAGAAAAAGAAAATAGGAGATTATAACACACAAATGTTGACTGAGTTCGAATGGTATAGTAAACTACCTTCCCGGGGATCTATTGAGTGGTATAGTTTAAAAAGCATTCAGTACTTGTTTTATGACGTCAGGCCTGACAGTGCCCCTCTTCATCAATAAAGGTTTTTTAACCCAAACTCCCTAGCATCTTTTACTAGAACTGGACCAAGTCCATCAAAATCCATCAATCAATTTGCGTCCAATACAAAACTGTACATGACATAATGGAATCCACCACTGACATTCATGGACTTGCTACACATGGCTTTTATCACAATAGCAGTGCAGGAAGCTAGGCAAAATCAATTAGATACCCCTAGCACTGCTTCAGGCCATTAGGCCCAAGTCCATCATACTCCATCAATATTTAGTCACGCCAGGCCTTCTGGACCAGGTCCCCAAGAATCCACCAAAATTAGGGGAAGGATTTTGATGGAGTTGGGGTGGTTTAGGGTTAATAGGTTTTGAAAATCAAACTTTCAGTATTTACAGGTTTTTTCCAAGTGCCAAAATACAGGATGAGTAAAATAAAAAACGAAATCCAAATGTCAGGACCATTGTTTTACTGAGCACTTTCAAAATCGAGGACATGAAAGCCCTATATGTAAGCTTTCTTTTATTACAGGAATCATTCAAATAAGCTATGGAATGTTAAACACCGCAGTCTTTAGTGCATGTATCTACCAACAATTAGGTACTCAAGGCACTGGATATTATGTCTATTATTAGAAACAGGTAAGTGAAGTTTATGAGAAATATGAGACCCATTATGTAGCACCTTATAAGGGTTTACAAGTTGCTGTGGCGCATATTGCAGCCACTGCCAGAAACACCGGGGGAAACCCCTTCTCTTAGAGATAAGTGCTAATGGGTTCTTTAACGTGCATTACACAACACACGGGACCTACAGCTTAATGTTCCATCTGAAAGATGAAGCAATAATGGTAAAGTGCCTTGCTCAAGAGCACAAGCACCATGTTCCCAAGGTCAGGATTCGAACCCATGTACCACGGCACACGAACACCGTAACAATTGAACCACAGCACCCCACTATAATGCAGCTATTCAGTTTGCCTCTGAAAACCTCATAAAGAGTTAATAATACAGATGACTAGTTACCTTAGCACCCGAGGGCTTGTTGGGGACTTTCATGTAGGCAAAGCCCTCCCCGCATCCCGTCGGGTCGGTAGGACCAGTCACAGCCAGGAGACACTTGCTCTTCATGGCGGCTATGAAGGCTCTGGTGGTATTCCAGGGAGCTGTGCGGACCTAGAGAAGGAGTCAAGTTGACTTGATGTAAACACGGATCCTTTTTCCCCAACATAAACGACTCATCTGAGCTTGTGTACAAAAGTTATGGAACTGTTTGTCTCATAATAATAATAATAATAATAATAATAATGGCTTCTTGTATTGCGCTCATTACCCTGGCTTAAGCACAGCTGCCATTACGGCGCTCAAGCATTGAAGGAATTTCTGCCTACCAGGTACCCATTTACTACACCTGGGTGGAGAGAGGCAATCGTAGTAAAGTGCCTTGCCCAAGCGCACAAGCACCATGTTCCCTGTCAGGATTTGAACCCACGTACCACGGCACACGAGTCGAACACCGTAACCATTGGATCACAGCAGCCCTTACATGCGTGATATACGGCATCTGCGCATAGAACAACGCATACAACATGTAGAACAATGCGCGCGCGCCATGATCGCTGACAGCTGGCGTCCTGACAGAAATTTGACCGCTGAAAGACTGCAGTTGCGCGCTGAGTCTCGCGCATGCGCACGCAAGAGGCGCAAGTGCCATATCACGCCTCTAACCAGAAATTTGCGGAAGTCGTTTATCCTTGTGTAGAGGATCCGTGATGTCAACGGGTCATCAAGTATGATGCAATGAGGGAAATTTTGATCAATAGCTGGAAAGAGTAATTTCAACTACAAGAGATTTTTTATTTTCAAAAAAATTGTCATGCAAATATCAGTCTTATTGGTCTTAAAAGTATTTAAATATCAAAACAAAACTCACTCTTGACTTGGAACCAAATTTATTCAGAAATTCCAAGCGGACCAAGTCGCATTTTCATCTGTTACTCCTCTTAAGAAACTAATATCAGGCTTTAGACAATTTGTGATGACACATTTAGTTGACAAGGCATTTACCTCATCGTCAATTTTCTGCACGTCGTCTTCGTTGTCATCGTCTGGAGCAAAGAAAGACTTCTCCCCATACCCAGCATCCTAAACACCAAAAAATCATAGTTATAAAATCAGATACAACGGAAAACAACATGCAATCCAAGAGATGTCACTGAAGCTGAAAAAAAGGCTCCCTCGCTTAAAGACTGTGTGCACTGATAAATTAAACTTAGCAGTTCCTTTGTTTAAACTGATGACATGAGAAAAATCAAGATTTCTTCTTTTCCTAGAAAACTTTTTAAAAAAAATTCAAACAAGGACTTCTTGCAGCAAGAGATTGAAGTAAAAAGTGTTTCTCATTTTTAACACTGACATCATCAGTAAATATTACTAGGCATAACATGACTTTATCTTGTGGTAAAGTTGAATCCTTGATCCTGATTGGTCGATCCATGGCAACAGTGTGATATTATCCCCCCAAACCATCCACATTGGGTGGAGGGGTGACCACTGCCTGAATCCTGCAAAATCCTGCAGCAGTGACTGTCAATATGTTGAGGCTTGGCCAGTGACATCCTGGAGCAGTACGGAGGATTTCGAGCATAATCCAGGCCTATATTTATGCTTGGCTGAGCAAAAACAACACAAGGTCTGGCCCAAGACCTTGACAAAGTGCATCCTACGAAATCAGTAACGCACTTTTGCCACGTAACCTCAATCCTCCAAATTTCTCCACTTTGGCAAAGAGGATTTTCAAGGATTCAAGGGTTAAGTGCGTTGAAAACCTTATATTCTTCTTTTCTTTCTTGCTGCTGCTCTTTAATTAAACTGGCCTGCCCTAGGTACTGACCTTTAACCTTTGTTCAGTAGCCAGCATGCTGTAGTAGGCACAGCACTGCTCAGGCGACACCATGGCCCGGATCTCTTCCTCGCTGGGCAGGCGGAAGTCAGGCTTGACCACCCACCAGTTGGAATCCATACCTTTCACAGAAGGGAAAAAAAGAATTAACTTTAAGACTTTAAAAAAAAAAAAAATTATTACATTTTATGAATGAAGCATGACACAAATTATAGCACAGATTCTGTATCTTGATTGGCCGAGAGCAAGTCACATGACATTCGCTATTTTTACTATCTTACTGTGAACAGTCAGAAAGACTATACAATGGCTGCCTCGGTATGAGAAAGTACAACAGGCATAGAAACCAACGTAGCAGCCAGAAGTCTGTGTGCACTTGCAAATGGGAGTGCGCTTGCGCGTATTGTGCCCACACGCTACAGAGTTGGGATCCTACATTTAATGAGCGGGGAATTTGGAAAAAGTGCAAGTAAATTTTCAACTAACCTCATATGGAGATAGAAGTACATTTTAATTGGATTTCGGTTAAATTAATCAGTTATCTCTTGAAATCAAACAGAATCTGTGGGAGAGGTGATATCAAACAAATACTGACCACTCTTTCTTGTGGAGTAGTAAAACTAGCCTCCCTCGGTGATCCATGGAGTGTTCTGTGTTCCTGAGGCGTAGCTGAAGGAAATGGAACACTCCATGGATCCCAATATGACATAGTATACAAATATTGACTGCCTCATGTGGTGTGGCATATTACTAGCCTCCCTCGGTGCTTCATGGAGTGTTCTGTTTTCCTGCGGCGTAGTTGAAGGAAATAGAACACTCCTTGGATCCCAATATGACATAGTATACAAATATTGACTGCCTCATGTGGTGTGGCATATTACTAGCCTCCCTCGGTGATTCATGGGAATGTTCTGTTTTCCTGAGGCGTAGCTGAAGGAAATGGACCGTACTTGTTTAACACCCACCAAGAACATATATATTCCCTTAATATATTCCTGAAGGCCCTACTCCAAATGAACAAATCTTGGAGTGGTTTACGTACCTGTGCGTTTGAAGTCAGCGCACAGCTTGAGTCGTTTCCTGATGCTGCTCTCTGAGTGTGTGGGGAAGGCTCTTTTGATGTCCTCCATCTTGATACGGCGTGGACGATCGTTGCTCTTCCAAAACAGTCGGTAGATAAACACCTAAATCAAACCAAACATTCACAATGTTCTTCAGTAAACAACTTGATCCGGACAATTTTCTATTTTTGTTGGGTTTTGCCCTTCTCTGATGGAAGAGTTTTAGAAGCAATGTCAACTCAGTGCTGCCTAAGAGCTTACAAGGAAATTTAAGAAGTTTTCTTGGGTGTAACTCAGACCCATGACTTCCTGCTTACGAATGTTACAGTAAATATAAAGTGCTCATTTTATAAAGAAAGAAAAAAAATAACGTAGTGAAAGGCAAAATTAAGGATGTGACGTTTACACATTAAAATGTTTAAACAAACATAAAATCTATATCTGTTTTAATACCAATTTTCCGAGACGTTTTAAACAAAACCCGCATTATAAAAGAGTTGCATTATGTTTACTTGATCTGCCCTCAAAGTTTCATTTACAAAGAATCAAGGATTCCTTCAAACCAACTTAAACCAGACTGAAATTTGTCCACACTCATTGGAGGGGTCATAATTTTGAATCTGATCGTCTTATGATAACATCAGTTATATAGACCTTTGGGGAATGTTGTTAGCTACATTTTGATACCCAGTTTCCTACCAAAGGCTGTAAATCGTCCAACACTGATGGTGTTTATATTAGTCTTCTGTCAAAATGATGTTGCTGTATATTGGATACACAATCACCCTCGAGAGAGGGCGTTACCAAAACAAACCGATATCATCCACGAACCGCTATCACAACGTCTTGGGAATTTGTAGCGGTTGTGACATGCAGGTACACCTGTTTTGCCTAATGTATGCAGCGAGCATTCAACACCTTAGCATATTAGCTCCGAAACAAACTCCAAAATTTCATCCAGTAGCATACAAGATGCTACAAGACTGTTGTGCAACTTCATGGCAGCTCTTCCTAGTGCGTGTGCGACCAAGAATTGAATCGTATTTGCCTGCAAAAGTAGCGCATTTGCAATAGTTTCCCCAATTTTTTTCAGGGGGATTTTACAAGATTCCGAGGATGTTGCTGTGGTTGCAGTTCGTGGGTGATAGCAGTTCGTTTTGATAACACTCTCTTTCGGAGAGTGATTGCGTATCCAGTGTTCACCGTCTTGACCTGAGACTAGTTTATATGCCTGTGTACCGACCTGTAAGAAGTCTCGGATGTGGTTGTTAGCCTTCTTAGAGTTGGGCCCCGGCACTTCCCGCAGCGGACACTGCTGTCCCATGGTGTAGATGTGGTCGATGGTCCGGACAAAATACCTGCTCGAGCAAAAAAATAAGAAAAAGTGAGTCAACTCAAGCTGGTCCCAGAGTGCACACAATTCTATTCAATTGATTCAGAGTGGTTATAAGCTGGACGTCTTTCCAAGCATCTGGTCTACAACAATGGGACGGATAATGGGTTAACCCCTATACGATAGCACTGCCCAGCCCTCTTCATCGGTATACAACCAGGCTAAGACCACTGACCTCTTTATAAAGACTGGATAGCGGATAAAGAGCCGCACAATGAATGAATTTGACGCCATATTGGTGAGACCGGTGAGACCGGCTGGTGATCTACAAAGGACAAGTTGCGGTCTTTATGGCATCACAATTACTTTTGTAACATCGCAGTTCACTTGATTTATATTTTGACCACCACAACTGATCACGGTTTACAATTTTTCCAACGTCGTGGTTTACTTCTTTTTTTTTAATGCCGCAGTTCCTTTCTCGGCATTTTGGAAATAATAATCACTGCGGAAATGTGTCCTTTTTAGAACATCATAATACGTGTACGTGACCAAAATGCGCGTCAACTCTTGAAACAGCGCGCGCGCTACATACGCGTAGAACGTTCGTAATATACGCGGCCATCTTCGTGAGACCGGGGGCGAATTGGTCAATATGCAAAGTCTACTGTGTGACTGGTGTATAGATATCCGCTATCCAGTCTTTATATAGAGATCAGTGGCTAAGACACAAGCGACAGGCAGTCCGTCAGTGAGATAGGGACAATGAGGTCACCAGGCTGGCCCTCTGGGACCAGCACAAAAAAACATGTCAAAATGCTAAATTTGTGGTTGATTTGGCGTAAACACATAATACAAAACAGTCTTTTCCTCCTCATGATTAATGACATTTCTTGAATTTCATATTTCCCAGATTTATTTTTAGCATAGAGGATTCAGAAAATCAAAGATCTTCAATTTTTAGCTATGTGCCAGCGAAAAGAAATCTGTCCCAAGGTTCCACCCTAACATTTTTTGTTCACTCGCCAGCCGGGCTACTGAAACAGACTCTTAACTAGCCCGCGGGCATTTTCACTAGCCCGCAAGGTTTTTTTTTTATAGAGTGTCTCATAAACAACAATGTGCATACAAACGTGTATCCTGAGGCAATCTTGTCAGTGTTTGTAATAAACAGATCTAATTATTTAACCCTAAACAGTTAATAAAATTAGACACAAATTGATACAGGTTTGCTTTCTGAATTTAATGATTTATTTCTTCATGTCCTTTCACCTTTGCCATATCCCAATAATTTTTGACTCGCCAGCCGGGCTACTTAAGGAATAGTTTGACCAGCCAGCCGATGTTTTGACTAGCATCTGGCTAACGGGCTACCGCTAAAGTCGAACCTTGTGTGTCCCCCTATTTAATACCTCCCAACCCTGCATGCTTGTGAGTCCCTACATGTTTGTTTCTTGTACCTCTGTGATTATGCATTTGAAGATCTTGTTAAGATTGGAACGTCAGGCCGCCTCAATTTTTAAGAATTTTTTTAAATTTCAATCAATGGTAAGAAAGCACAAGTAACATCAGAAATATAAAAGTGCTGCAAACTGCTCACCGACTGGACTTCCCTGAAAATATAAAATTAAGGTGTGACTTAACCCTCCTGCTGTTTAAGCAGTCACAGACAGTCACGATATTCACTTCCACTTCCCCTGCTATACTTTCAACAAAGGACAGTCACCAGCAGTCAGATCATATGTCAAGCAAGCACTGTGACTAGTCAAACTGGGTCAACAGACAAAGCTGGCAAGTTGTGGTCACAGCTGTTTTATCACTCACCCGGAGTAAAAACACAGCAGTATCAAGTTTAATTACTTAAACAGTCCCAGCCAGTCAATCCTGCTTTATGTGGGCTGGGAATTCTTAACTGTTGAGAACAGTCACTTGATTGATTTTGACTGAAAGAACTACTTGGCACAGAATTTATGTTTGCATAGGAGGGTTATAAATGCAAGTGTAATTCACAAGTGACAGTCAGCTAGACAGTCAGTAAATCAGTCAGTCAGGTACAGAGAGTACCACAGACAGGTTCCCCTGGTCCCAGAAAAAAAAACACAAGTATACACACTCACTTTTGCCGAGTTCTAATGACCAAGAAGTCGGTGCTGAGCATCTTGTGGAGGTACGCCGGGGATCTGAAGAGGTTGTTCTCCAAGGCTTGCAAGGATTCGCCCGGCGCTAGGACACCGAGGAAAGGCGAGCTGCGGACATAGACCGTCTCGCCGTGCTCATACTCGGGCGGCTTGGAGTCAGACAGAGATTTCTGAAAAAGGTAAAAAAGGATGAATTAATGTATTTCCACTTCCAAGAATCTTATATGATGGTGGCAATTCGGGCGTTTCGCAATGCAGTGCGCCACCAAGAGTTTGCCACGGAGAGTTCATTTTTCCCAGTGCAGTGTGGGAGATGGTCGACAAATTTGCAGCGCGGGACATTTGACATTGTTAGTTTTTCCGGTCAGTTTCGTAAGCGTATGACTTAAGTATCTGTTTGCCCTTTTCTTTTCTTTTTATCAATATGGTGTTTTTTGTGAAGCGGCAGAACGCTATGCCCGCAAATTAACTCAAGCTGTCTACTGACACTCATTCAAATGGGCCATGTTTTGTTTACCGCAAGCTTGAAAAATGGAATCTCCTTGGCAAACTCTTGGTGGCGCACTGCACTGTGAAACGCACCAATTATGTACCGGTTACAGGGTTTCAAGCAGACCCAGGTGAAAAAGTAGGAAAACAGTAGAATCAAAATTATTTTTAAAAAATGAGGATAAAAGTAGGACTTTTGCGGGCTTTCATGAGTAGTTTTGGTTAATACTCATCCATGTCCACATTATAAGGCTCATTTGGCACGTTCTATGCACACAACACTTGTGCTCCATCCTCAACTAAGGCCTTGGAAGTACAGCGTTAAAGCCCAGTGCTAAAGGGAATGTACAACATTTGCTTTTGCTGGAATTTTCAGAAACAAATAGATTTGGAGGATTAGTATGTTAGAGAAAATATTGTTAAACTGACTTGTTTCACGTTTTGGGCTTGTAAATGCTGGAAAAACCAAGAAAACCTATCATGTTCTTGTAGTCTGGTTCCCTGACCCCACTTAAGATGGAACGGAGCAATTAATTCACTTTGGGGAATTGTAAGGTCAGAGAATCAGTCTAGCAGGCTTGTACCCCTTCATAGGTGTGTAATCAATTGCAAAGAAAAGTCAGAATAACTAAATACAGTTGTTGGAAAAAAGCCAGTTTTCTCCAACGCTGGTCAGCTGACCAGCGTTGGAAAAATACAGTTTTTCTTCAAAATGTCAGCACACCAGGAGCCAGGATTTTAAAGGATGCTTTAGATTGTCTGTCCCTATCAATTCAGTAACCTATTTCGTGATAATTTGATCATTTCGTTTTTTTGATGTTTGCAAATGTTGTATCTTCCCTTTAAGTACTCACCTGCTTGTAGTAGTTACATATCTTGCTGGCCATGCCCACTTGCATCATGTGAGGCGGGTACTGCTCACAGTACTCAGTCAGTATGAGCTCACCGTCCATCCCAGACAGGTCCTCGGGGGTCCTCATGAAGAACATCTCACCCCCGCCGGAGGCCTGACGCTCCTGCTCTCTCAGCTGTCAAAACACAAACAAGAGGGAATTTTACGTAGGGAAGAAAGTAAGATCAAACAAGCGGTCTTTGAGGTTGAACCTTGAGGTACCCCTGTAAAACCCTCACGACTCAACCTCCTGAGGACGGACAGAGCACACTGTCCGAAACGTCGAGTTCTACTCTCAACCGACCGGTTCTTTTCAGAACCACAATTCTTCCAAGAAGAGATTACTTTCCACATGGTGTTACCCGCAAACTTTATAATTTATGATTTATCTCATTCACCATGCAAAGCTTCAAGTCATATATATTGTAAAACCCTGTTAAACTCTGTGGTTGAACTGCTGCCAGGGCCCAATTTCATAGAGCTGCTTAAGCACAAAATTTGCTTAAGCTCGAAAAAACATTGCTTAGTAAAATTAGGTTACCGGCCAAAACTCCATGCGATGTACATTGCTTGTGACTGGTATTTAGCGGTTGTTTACTTAGCATAGCAATCGCATGGAGTTTTGGCCAGTAACCTGATTTTATTAAGCAAGATGTTTTTGTGCTTAAGCAAATTTTGTGCTTAAGCAGCTCTATGAAATTTGTCCCAGGATACAATCTCATACAGGTGTAGTGAGTACCAAACCATCTATATGACAGTTCTTTTTTTTTTCAGATACGGAATCAATGGCTAGGTGTGACCGCTTTCTGGCTTGAAAACAGGGGGAAAAACCTCGACATTTAACACGTGTTAAAGTAAAAGGCAAAAAGTAAAAGGCAAAGTGTACGCTGCGTGCATACGGAAATGCATGACCTACGGCAGTGAGACGTGGTCAGCAAAGTCTGAAAGTGCGCAGCGGTTGGAGCAGACAGAGATGAGGATTGTGAGATGGATGTGTTAGACCTCCCTGCGTGAGAAAAAGAGTGAAGATCTCCTGCAGTCTGTGGGTCTGATGAAGATAACAGAGGAGATCAGGCAAGGCAGGCTGAGGTGGTATGGACATGTAGCAAGAAGGGAGGAAAGCCATTGGCTGAAGAAAGCATGAAACTTTGAAATAGTCGGTCCAAGACCACGAGGCAGGCCACGGAAGACCTGGGATGAGACACTGGCAGAAAACCTCAGACTGTCAAACCTCGCCAATGTGGATGTCAGAAATCGGACTGCGTGAAACAAGGCCATTAAAGGAAAGGCAACGTCTCACCCCACAGCGTGGGAAAAATTGATGTTAAATGGAAATGTAATACAAATAGTTGAAGCTACTTGAAGTTCTTAAAGACCAAGTAAACCTCACTTCTTGTCTCTTCTGTTCTGCCAACTTGCTACAACTGCCCCTGACAATTTTGTTCGCACTACGTGTAAAGGTGTCATGAATCAACATGTCTAGCCATACACCTACTTTACCACTATGGTCCCCTAGTCCGGAGTACACTGTATCCTAAGCCTTACTCATGATTTCGATTTTTAATCAAGAATTTTCCACATGCGTCTTTGCCAAATAAACCTACAAACCAACTTTCGAGGATTAGCTCTATAAGGGAATGAATGTGTGCTTGGGAAATTATGAGCATCCTCTATACAATACCGGCCAAGTGCATATTTATTCCCATTCATAAATACCTTTTTCGGTCAAATATTCAAATGCTTTCGGTCTAAAAGTCAAAACAAGTCAACCATTATAAATTTCCAACGATTTTGTTCAACAATTTTACCTCATGTTTTGTGGGCCACCCATCTAGCTTGTATTATGTTATATCCAACCTGCGAGTGTCATAAACAACTCCTTATATGGAGATTCGCACGCGTGTCGCGCGTACTGCGCGATGTGGCGCACAACGCAGCTGTGCTGGTGTATTGTAAATGTAGGACTATGAAATTCTGACTCACCAGTACATATTGCCTACATGAGGATTGTGAACGTTCAACAAATAAAACGGTAAAAGGCACCGGATTTCATGGGAGTCCCAATTTCATGTGACGCTGTAAAAGTGTTTTTGACCAGCCAACCGGTCTTTATCAATCGTTTAAGACCGGCCACGTGATAAGCTCTTGACCAATAAGGAACGGGTAAACTGTCTTAGGTATTTAGGAATGATTTTTAATAACTACTTAACAATTGGAGTACAAAATCAACTGCCTTTATTTGACAGAATTAAACTACTCGTCGTCTCTAGCACTGCCAAGTTTGGCCAATAGTTTCGGCTTAAGATACGTAGAGTTTAGGTCACTCACCTTGGCTTTGGTCTTGATCCGTCTGAGTAGCGGCCAGACATTGTGGTATCCCGGGGAGGCCAGCGCGCCGTGGGAGAATCTCTTGACCTGGGGCCTGTGGAAATGCCTGAGCCTGATGGGGCCCATGTGGGTCGGGAAGAACGGCTGGCGCAGCTCCACGGCCGGAGTGGAATGCTGAAGGGGTGACAATTTTACGGCAAAAGGTTACTGACATACAATCAGTGAAATTATGTATAGCTAATATTGTGGCATTTAAAAATCGCCTAATAGTTATACAGGGCGAGTGAAAAAAAAACGAAACCCAAATGTTGGGACTATTGTTTTATTGAAGTTCTGGATGTAGCACTTTCAAAATCTAGTATATGATAGCCCAATTCATAAGCTTCCTTTTAGTACCAGAATCATTCAAATCACTCATGTACTTTTCAAGTTACGGAATTTTAAACACAACCACCGTTTTAAGGTTCTGTCCACGGATCACCAAAAAGGTGTGCGTTCTTTCAGCAAAACGAAAACAATTCACACACATTCTATGTGATTTGTTTTCGTTTTGCTGAAAAAACACTGAACTTTTTTGCGATCCGTGGACAGAACCTTAAAACGGTGGTTGTGTTTAAAATTTCGTAACTTGAAAAGTACAAGAGTGATTTGAATGGTTCTTGTGCTAAAAGAAAGCTTATGAATTGGGCTTGCATATCCTAGATTTTGAAAATGCTACATGCAGATCTTCCCTAGAACAATGGTCCCGACATTTGGGTTTCGGGGTTTTTTTTACTCACCCTGTACAACTATTGACTCCGTGCACAAGTACCCCCTCAACGGTTACAAAGAGAGAGTTGGGGGAAACAACTGGAATTTTTTCATCAAAATCCATGAAAGCATTGAGAGGTTATACATTTTTTTTCAAAACTTTAACCCTAACCCCTTAAGCACTTTTACTAGAAAGTATCCTAAAATCCGCCAAAATCCATCCTATTGTGTCATGCACAAACATTTTGGTGTTGGTGACTGCTCAGTATGGAGGTATCCTGAATCCATCAAAATCCTGCAGTACCGCTAGGCTTACAATCCTAAATCCATCAAAATCCTCCTGTTTTCAATATGGAGGTATCCTGAATCCGCCGAAATACTCAAAAACTGGGGTACGGATTTTGATGGATTCAGGTACGCTAGGGTTAACATACATACGGAGCTACGGTCATGCCGGTCTGCTCTAGAATTTCACTTCTGGGGTACCGTTTTTGTAAGGGTAAGTAGTGGGGTAGCATTGTTCCCTAAGTTTCCCTTTTGTATGAGTACCCCACAAGTAGCTGTGGTAAGAACGGTCATACGGGTCTATGGTCATACAGAATTTAGGTCTGGTAGGTGTCTCCCAAGACTTCCTTCAGGCGTAGTGTCATGTCAGTAATGGCTTTCTGATTTCGGACGTCAGATAGGTCTGTATATCTGAGTGAACTGGATTTTTACTGAAGAGAAATGAACAGTAAAGACAGCTTACCTGTAGACTGCCGGCCATGTTGGCGCGCAGTTTGTTCTCGCCGACGTTCTTGGGATAGTAATAGTTATCGTTGGAGATGTTGAATGGGTCCTTGACGTCTTCGTCTTCCTGGGCCTGGGTCTAGAAGGACAGGGAAAACAGATGTGGATTTTAATTCTTTGTTCTCTAAAGAAAGGTAGGGTAATTAAGGTCCAAAAAAAAGTCTCCGGTTTCTGGTATGGAGCTTGCCCCAAAAGTGGTGCAGCGATGCGGCTTTTTTTTTTTTTTTTTGCCGTTTTTTTCTTCTTCAAATGTCGGCTGATGACTGCAAATGGTGCCCGACTAAATTTAGTGCAAATATATGGGAGTCCAGAGAGGCCACATAAAGCTTATACTCGATCGTAACCCCATCTAAAAACACGTTAAAATTGTGCAACAGCAGGATTCCAGTCAAACCAGTGAGTTTGGCGGTTTTGAGACATCATCTGATTACATTGAAAAAAAAAAAATTTCATTTTGCCTACGCGTATGGCTACGGCGACGCGCGTGCAGACCAGAAACCGGAGAATATTTTTTTTGGCCTAAGCAGTTCACGCCGGGATTATTTTGACATTGACCGGATCCAGGCACGGGATTGTTTTCACGAACCTCGATGTGACTCGAGCATAAATATGACTCGACTCGACTTGACTCGACCACACAGTTTGACTCGACTCGACCTTCTTGACGTAATGACTCGACTCAAGTAACTTCCTTAAAACCAAGTCACTAAATTCAGTAACTTGTTACAACTCTGCTACTTCTTTATGCACATTCAGAATAAAATAAGTTGTGCATACACCACGCAGTTCGCGCTTGCAGTGTGCCCCTCCCACTGGCATTTTTAAAATTGGTCACAAACCGCCATCTACGGGGTACCTTGGATCAGTCAATTCAGATGTGGCACAATATTCCTTAACAAAAATCTAAATACTAAAAACGACAAAATGTCCAACATTGGCTGGCTGACCTGAAGGATATTAGACTTGGTGACACCGGACTTCTCCAGGACAATCTTGGATCTGCGGGGTTCCTTCTTCTCTTTGACTATGTCAGCCTCGGCGTTGGGGTCCGGATCCTCGGGGATGCCCAGGATGATGTTCTCATCGTTGGGGTCCAGCTTCATGACCAGGGGGGACGGGATTCGGTCCATTTTCTGCGAAGATTAAAGCGGAAGAACATGACTACAAACTTCATGTATAGAGATACGGACAGAAATTGTGGTACATATAAGCTCCATTTTTGCCATGTAGCCTCAACCCTGCAAACTCCTCCATTTTGCAAAGAGGATTTCGGAGGATTTGGGAAGGTTAGGGTCAAGGCCATGCTCACCTCATGGTCCCAGATGATGTCGTCCTCCCACTTGTGGTAAACCAACTCCTCGTTGTCCACGGGGAAGATGGAGTACCAAGATGCCTTCTCTGGCTCCTGATTACCTTGAGCTTAAGCAAAAGAGTAAAAAAACAAGCCCATTAGCACTTATACTACATTGTACTACACACTGCAAAACAAGAAAATCTACACTTATTGGAGGGGTCCTTATTTTGAATCTGATTGTCTTATGATGACGTCATTTATATAGACCTTTGGGGAATGTTGTTGGCTACATTTTGATACCCCGTTTGCTACCAAAGACTGTAAACCATCCAAGATTGACAATGGTTTATGAAAAATGATGCAGTTTGAAAAGTTGCGAAATTAAAGCTTACGCGAGGAAAATTTGTTAAGTGCAAACACACATGCCCGTAATTGGCCCCTATCGACTGCACAGTGACCAAACGAAGCACAGGTAATTCAATTTTGCATGCTCCCATGCATGCAAAGCACTGTGTGATCGGTATTCCCTGCCATTTGTTTCTGGCAGTGAAACATTGTCATGCAGCAATTTCCACTCGCATACTATTTGAATTTGCAATTTTTCAAACTGCGTCATTTTTCATAAACCGTTGTCAATCTTGGACGATTTACAGTCTTTGGTAGCAAACGGGGTTTCAAAACGTAGCTAACAACATTCCCCAAAGGTCTATATAAATGACGGCATCATATGACGATCAGATTCAAAATGATCACCTCTCCAATGAGTGTGGACTTTCTTTTTTTGCGGGTGTTTACATTGTTTTTACACTCCTTGATGTATCCGTAAGACCATAGAGTGCTGGGTTGATTTGGGCGGTATTAGGAGTAACAGGCAGGGCGTTGTAATGGTACAGAGAAAAATATATTGAACTTAATCGCAAAAGAAGCTTTTTAGGGGCAGCCATCTTACAGGAAAGGGGGAATTCACGCCCCCCCCCCTCCCCCTTCCTTCAATTTTCTGATCTTGGAAATGCAATGTTTGATTTCCTTCAAATCTGGAAATCCGGAAACTGATTTTCAGTCATGCCAAGTGAGATTAATTCAATTGGACGAAGGTAAATGGTCATTAAAATACCATGTTTCTATCCGTTAGTGTTTAAATGTTCAATGAAAAAACCAAAGGATTTTTCGGTACCAAATGTCGAATCGGCACTTTGTGAACACTACATCAAATCTTTATGGCACTGGTATCAAAACACAAGATATCAGTTTAAAAACACCTCAAGGCTCGGCACCAAAAGAATGCGTAGTGATGATATTGGACTAAATATACAAGCCCCCTCCAACTACCCCCCCCCTCCTCCTTCCCCTCTCCCAGCTCCTTTTAGGCTTAAACTTACATAGCAATTCTGCCTTGCCAAGTTATTATCTTGTGTTTATATAATGGCAAGAAGGGTAGTGAGTTTCCTACCTTGTTGTGCCAGTTTGTTGGCCACCTTTCTTGCCAGGGCCGGACCCTGGAGTTTGAGACCCATAGGAGCTGAGCTGAGGCTGGGGTCCAGGAAGTCCATATTGCGCCTTCCTGTGAAATTACAACAAAAAGTTGGGGATTTAAAAGGTCAGAAATTATCATAGGAATTTTAGCTGAAAGAAGAAAGATTCTGCATCACATCTAAAGCGAGTATTTGTTTTTCCTGATATATAATTTTGGCAATGTTCACTCAACCAGTTTGCCTCGGAGCACGTGATATCACACGCTGGCTGTTTTTTTTTACAAGGGCATGGCTGACGGGTTAAGATGTCAAGATTGCCTCGACTCGCCTCCAGATGACGTCTAAACACGCTAATCCCTCGTGCCTTTTGTACACACACACAAAGTCTGTGAAGTCTGTGGAGGCGGACCGTGTGTTGATCTTGAAGTGGCCAGTGCACAGTATTGAAACATATGAGTTTCAGCAAGAAATATCGTACAAATACTGTTGAAATGACTCTTGCGATCAGTATTTGTGGCATTTGGCAGAAGCTATCGTTTTCCAGTGAAAAATTTGCTCATACACATTCAGAATTACATTTGCTGAAAGCAAGAGTACGGTATCAGTTTGTCCTGCACAACAAGGTCTTTGAATGGAAACGAAATTCCATTATTGTTCATGCAAAGTATGCTTACCCCTAACCTTCCAAAATCCTCCAAAATCCTGTTTGCAAAATGGAGGATTTTGCAGGATTGAGGTTACATGGCAAAAGTTTGTGGCTGATTTGGGGGGGATGCAGTGTGTCAAGGTCTTGTGTTATATATGCTCAGCCGTGCATAAATTTGGGCCTAGTTTATACTTGAAATCATCCGCACTGCTCCATGGTATCACAGGCTCTGCCTCAACATATTGACAGTGATTGCCAGAGGATTTTGCAGGATTCAGGCAGTGGTCACCCCTCCAAGGAACCCTTTCAAGAAATAACGGAGGATTTGGGAGGAATTGAGGCTGTAAGCAATTTTGACATAGAGGCAGTTAAGGATTTTGCAGGACTGAGGTTGCATCCCAGCAAAAATACCTAGGGAGTTAGGGTTCACCTACCATGAGCTGTGCAGTATGCATGGACCGTCCTATTAGCCAGCGTGGGCACCCATCCCGCCAGCGTGTTGGCGTCCGTCCCCTGCAGCATCTTCTCCTTGACTTCCTCCCCATCCCAGATGATGTTATCCTCCCAGGGAAGCTGGCTGACCAACTCGAAGGCGTCCTGTGGGGCCGCGGGCACCTGTGGACAGTCGGTGAAGAGCTCAGACAGGGGGACGGTCTCCTTGGGCGGCGGTTCTGGCTCGTCGTCTGAAGGCTTCGGGCTGGGGATGTTCTCTTTGTTATTCTAAAAGATGTCAAGAATTTAGAAAGTTAGGTCTGATATTGTTTATATGATGGCATTTCCATCACAGAGGTGTAAGTTTTATATAGGGTTTTGCCCTTTGTCGACGTAATTTGTAAACACTGTATACTCAGTATTGTAGTAAGCAGGAAGTCGAGGGTTCGAGTCCCACCCGAATAAGCTCGTGAATTTATTTCTCGCACGCCCTCGGACTTCACTGATTAGATAGCAGAGTTGTATGTGACTCGGACTCAAGTCCAACTCAAGTCACATTTTCCATGACTCAGACTCGCACTTGAGTAACAATGACAAATGACTAGGACTTGGACTTGACCTGCGTGACTCGTGACTCAACCAAAATCACCACAAATCACATAGTTTTTCAGCAATATAATTACAACTTATTTTGAAGACGATCCTTTCCTGAGCAAGTGATACAGTCAGAGCGGTACAGAAGAATGCATCTAAGTATTGTACATACACGGCACCTGCAGCTCAAATTTTTTCCAATATAAAGCTGACTTGTGACTTGGACTCGGACTTGACCTTTGTGACTTATGAGTCGGACTCAGACTCAACCTGCATGACTCCAAACTCGTACTCGATACGCAATAACCAATATATAAAATTTAGATCTCATATATTACTCATTTGGGAAACTTGGGGTGTAAAATATATCTCAATTTAGGTGACAAGTTAAAATCCTCCATCTCTGGCTGGCAAATTGGACAAAGCCATCAAAATAAATCGAGTGACTGTCTTAAACAGTTGAATTCTCCCTGTCTGCATAAACCAGGATTGGTTTTTGTACCTGGTCTGTGACTGTTTTTTGCAACTTGATACAGTTTTGCTTTGACTGTAGGTGATAAAGCCAGCTGTGCCCACAAGTGATCTACTTTTGCCAGTTGATTGGATTTGACTAGTCACAGTGCTTACCGGGAATGTGATCTGACACAAAAGATTTACCCAAAAAGCATTTCGAATCATGGGTGCCAACTCTATGGGCAAAAGTGGTTTTGCAAAACTTGAAGGGTTGTGAAGTGCAGAAGACTAGGAGAATTAACCTTAACTCCCTAGGGTGATTTACTGGGAACCTTCCTCATCCTTGCAAATCCCAACACCATATAGTAAACTGTGCACGTAAACAGTTGGACTCTGTTTATTTGTGGTATGCCTAACCCCATAAAAGCATAATCAGTTTACTAGTGCAGTACTCATCCTAACAGATTCCAACAAACCCTGGTGTTGGAGTTTGGCTGGTTGGGGATCGTTAGGGTTAAGGCTTATGACAGGGAAGACAACTGATTTTTTTTTTTACTCAGACTGTTCAGAAAACAGGTGTCAATGAAAGACCACGTACTTTTCTCATCTGTAAGCCGTAGTCGAAGCCTTCCCCGCTCTCCGGCACTCCCAGCATGTCATACCAGTACTGGGCCGGCCCGTACCGCCACTCGGCAATCTTGGGTTTGGAGTCCTTGTTCTTGTTGGCGTCCTCATCTTCATTGGAGATCAGGGGCTCAATAGGGGCCAGCATAGTGATCTAAACACACAAAAATGGGACAAGAATCACTGCATTTGTGCTAGGGTAGTGCTGAACACAGTTTATCCAAATATTCCTTCGACCTTTACGGGACAAAATTCGTGATCAATTTCTACTCTGTTTTTGGCAAGTTATGAGCCTGTTTTCAATACACCGGGAGGACTTCACACTATAAAATAAAGGTCTATGCATTGTGCATTACCATCAACAACATGGCCTACAACTCCCTTCACAGCTGTTTGATCCATCCACTTTTTCATGTTAAACTTACATGTCACCAAACACTTATAAGGCATCATGTTACCATCTTCCCAGCGTGTAACGAGCACACACGCATAAAGAGGAAGTGTAGTAAACTGGAATGCAGACTGGAGGACTGCCATAGCCAAATAAACACCGCAAAGAAAGAAAGTCCACACTCATTGGAGGGGTCGTAATTTTGAATCTGATCGTCTTATGATAACGTCATTCATATAGACCTTTGGGGAATGTTGTTAGCTACATTTCGATGCCCCGTTTGCTACCAAAGACTGTAAATCGTCCACGATTGACAACGGTTTATGACAAAGGATGCAGTTTGAAAAGTTGCAAATTTAAAGACTACACGAGTTGACATTGCTGTGTGACAATGTTAAACATGCCTGAAACGAACGGCAGGGAGTAGCGATCGCACAGTGCTTGTATGCATGGGAGCACGTGAAATTGAATGACCCGCGCTTTGTTCGGGCAATGTGCAGTCAATAGGGTCAAATTATGGGCATTTGTGTTTGCGCTTAGCAATTTCTCCTCACGTAATCTATAAATCTGCAACTTTTCAAACTGCATCATTTTTCCAAAAAAAGTTGTCAATCTTGGACAATTTAGTCTTTGTTAGCAAACAGGGTATCAAAATGTAGCTAACAAAACCCCCCAAAGGTCTATATAAATGACGTCATCATAAGACAATCAGATTCAAAATTAGGACCCCTCAAATGAAGGTGGACTTGCTCTTTTTTTTCCGGTGTTTACTACGCATCATCACGTACGGGTTGTACAGGATTCCATGACTTTTCCATGACTTTTTCCTTGGGAAAATCAACTTTCCATGACCATGATCGTCAATGACTCTTTGGTGAAATTACACAATTCCACAACTTTTCCATGACTTTCCATCACAGCTTTAAGTTCCAGGATCTTTCCATGACTGCGGGAACTCTGTTCTCCTCTACAAAGAGACCCCACTAGAAATAAGTTGGAGTCTTTGTGGGCTATCTAAGTCAAATGAGAATAACAATAGGCCAAAAAAAAAAGTCTCCGGTTTCTGGTATGCGCGCGCGTCGCCGTAGCCATGCGCGTCGGCAAAATGAAAAAGTTTTTTTTTCAATGAAAGATGATGTCTCAAAACCGCCAAACTCACTGGTTTGACTAGAATCCTGCTGCTGCACAATTTTAACGTGTTTTTAGATTGGGTTATGGTCGAGAATAAGCTTTATGTGGCCTCTCTGGACTCCCATATATTTGCACTAAGTTTAGTCGGGCACCATTTGCAGTAATCAGCCGACATTTGAAGCAAAAAAAATCAGGTTAAAAAAAAAAAAAGCCGCGTCGCCGCACCACTTTTTGGGCAAGCTCCATACCAGAAACCGGAGACTTTTTTTTTTGGCCATAAATATCAATAACTGACTTTTACCTCATCATCCGGAGTGCACTCTTCAGGGGGTGGTGTTGGCGCGTAGTTGTACAGCCATCCCGTGATGCTACTGCTCTTGGTGGGGCTAGACACCTGCTCCGTACCCTCGGAGCTGGCTGTCGGGCGACGTTTCCTCCGCTTCTTCTTGGCACCGCGCCAAATCTGGGGGAGCGTGTTCTGGCAGCCAAAGAGACGATGGAACCTCAGTACCTGAGAAGAAAAAATAGAAAGTGGTATTTCAGCTTGAAATTTGAAAAACTACTATTCAGTATTGAAAGTAGAGTAGATCATCCCTAACAGTCCTGAATCCTCCAATTTGAATATGATTTTGCATACCCCTTAGGGAGTTAGGGTTAATAATAATAATAATATCGGAGTCTTATATCTACCAACAATTAGGTACTCAAGGTGCTGGAAATTATGTCTATTATTAGAGACAGGTAAGTGAAGTTTATGAGAAATATGAGACCCATTATGTAGCACCTTATAAGGGTTTACAAGTTGCTGCGGCGCATATTGCAGCCACTGCCAGAAACAACGGGGCGAACCCCTTCTCTTAGCGATAAGTGTTACTGGGTTCTTTAACGTGCATTGCACAACACACGGGACCTACGGCTTTACGTCCCATCCGAAGGACGAAGCAATAACGGTGAAGTCCCTTGCTCAAGAGCACAAGCACCATGTTCCCACAGTCAGGATTCGAACCCATGTACCACGGCACACGAGTCGAACACCATAACCATTGGACCACAGCACCCCACAGTTGCAGCTATCCAAAAAGTAACTGACAAAATTATTGTTGAAAAGCTTACTTGATTTAAAGATAGTAATGGCACTAAACTCCCTGTGAAATTATTCTTCCTGGCATGCTGTCATTTTGAAATAAGCAATTAAAGAAGGCCATTTCCAAAGAGGAGTCAAGAGACGCATTTTTCAAAATTTCCGTCAGTAGTTTGTTTGTAATTCAGCGAATCCGTGAATGGTTGCGCACAAGTATTGACACAATGCACACGCATGCGCGGTTGCAATTATTAGTCAATTCAGTGCGTGACATCGCATAGCTGCAATCGGCTGAATGAGAACGTGTCCTGGATGCTGATTTCGGACACAATTCAAAACATGACTCAACAACTTTTAAAATTGAAATCAAGATCCTAGAATAGTTTTCTCGGAATATACAGCATTCACTGAGCTAAAACATCATCAGGTTAGCTGTTAAGCATCCGTCTTTAGATTTTGAGCACTTTTGTTGCTTCAAAGGAAAAAAAATGGACAAATGACAAATGATCTTCCCTACCTTTAGGGTACGTTCGAGTAGCTCACCCGGATCGACTCGAGTAAAGGCCGACGGGTTAGCCACAACAGCCAGGCTAATCAAACGCTAAACCGCGGGCCATCACGATCCTCACGTGACGCCCATAGACGTGGCCTTAGCCACAAACAAAACGCCCGTTTTGGATTGGGTCTTAGTTTGAGATTTACTGCTTTTCAGCCAATTGCAAAACTCAAAGAAGTTGGGCTGGAATTATAGCCTCAAAGTCGCTATGAACTAAATAAATGATTATTTTTAGACTTCAAATAACTTACTTTTTAAGTCCACTTGAGATTTCTGCTGTCCGCTTCTTGGAATGACCAAGGTATGCGTGTGATGTATTTCCACCACTGACTCTGCTCCACGAGCAGGGTCTGTGGTGGCTGACCCGGGTGACCCCCAAGAATGACGTCAGAGCTAATCGAATGGCACAGGGCTGACCCATGTCGACCCGGGTGAGCTAAACCAACGCACCCTTAGATATATTAGGCAAAAAAAAAAATGCTCCGGTTTCTGGTATGGAGCTTGCCCAAATAGTGGTGCGGTGACACGGCTTTTTTTTTTTTTTACCTGATTTTTTTGCTTCAAATGTCGGCTGATGACTGCAAATGGTGCCCGACTAAACTTAGTGCAAATATATGGGAGTCCAGAGAGGCCACATAAAGCTTATTCTCGACCATAACCCAATCTAAAAACACTTTAAAATTGTGCAGCAGCAGGATTCCAGTCAAACCAGTGAGTTTGGCGGTTTTGAGACATCATCTTTCATTGAAAAAAAAACTTTTTCATTTTGCCGACGCGCATGGCTACGGCGACGCGCGCGCATACCAGAAACCGGAGACTTTTTTTTTTTGGCCTTATGGACTCCATGCAAGAACAGTAGATGACACTTTATGACTGCTTTCAAAAGCTCCAGTGGCAGGCACACACTGCACGCGCAAAAAGTGTGATGTTCACACTAATTATTTTATTCTGGATGTTCACAAATACGTAGCGTCTTCGCATGAGCATCAGGTCTCCCCCTAACTGGTCTCCCCCTAAACGTTGAGGCAGAACCCATGCACGGAGTCCACATTTCCTTCATCTTTCCCTACCTTTCCTTCCCTGAACTCGGGGAAAAGCTCTGACACGTTGGGCTTTCTTTTCGGCTCCTGTGGGGTCTCCTCGTCCTCTCCAGCAGTCTCAGGGACTTGCCCGTCCTCCCCATCTACATGAATTCCGTCCCCTTGGCCGTCCGGTGACTGAGGGGTTGACAGTGGGAACGTCTTACGTACGACCGGCGGGGGAGGTGGGGGCATGAGCTGGGAGTCCTTCTCTGATTTGGAGCTCTCGGCCGTGTCGACGTCGTCATAATCCTCATCATCAGAGTCTGTTGATAGAAATGATTTACACAAAAGTCAGACACTACAGAGGAAATTAAAACTTGATTGGAGAGCTGCACAGGATTGCACTTTTTACAGACATTTAATTGTATGACTTAATTGTATGATTTCGGTTTATGAAATAAACCAAAAAACCCTGAAACAGTTGGGAAATTCCAAGGTGCAATATTTATTGCAGAGTCGCTGTGCACGGTATGACCAAATGTGGTTTGCGGTCTTATCACGCACAGAATATAACATGTAGGCCCACCAGTAGGTCACGTTGTGAGTACCGTGTGGTATGATTCAGTTTACTGAAAGACGACGATTTTCACAAGACCCGGGTAAGTTGTGGCAAAAAAAGCAGACACAGTTGCCCAAGCCAGATATTTGGGTGTTTTCGGGTCGGTTCGGTTTCAGGTTGGTTCGGGTCTGTTTTCCTTGAATTTTTGTCGGGACGGGTCGGTTTTAGGGAGTTCAGATCAGTTTTGGGTTTGGACTGGGTTAATATCTATAATGTTTTGTGTCAGTTTGGCCTAGTAAACCCGACCCGATGCATAACACTGCTAGCTAGTGCTCGCTCATAAACCTATATTAACAACAACAATAACAACCCACAGCTGAACATCTGAACGTCCATTTCTTTTGATTTTTGTTACCTTGTTTGGAAGGCATAACCGTGGACATGGCTTCTCTGTATTTCTCATAGGAGACGTCTTCCGCCGCCTCATTGATATCCGAGTAATCGACCGCATCGCTCGCCTTCTCCACAGAACCTGAAGAGAAGCATGGAAACAAAATATCTGACCGTGTTAATTCATACTTCTTGACAATTTTGGTGAAAAGAAAGTGAAAACAAGTCAGGTGTGTTTACAAACACAAATGCCCCGCAACCGTGACTGTTCCCATGACATAACACCACTCTTTTAACATCAACTTACATGTACCTTGGTCACATGGAACATTCATTGACAGCATTAGTGTCTTCTGTAGGTTTTATATGAATTAATCCCTAATCCCTATAATCTCAGAATAAAAAAAAGATTTCTATTGTTTTAGCCACTGTGAACTTGACCCTTGACCTTTTGGTCCCAAATTCAATAGGCTTCTTAGGATTACCAAAAACAATCCACAAACCAAATTTGAAGTTCATATGTTAAGTATTTCTCAAGTTATCGCGCTGACAAGATTTCTATTGTTTTAGCCACTGTGAACTTGACACTTGACCTTTTGACCCCAAATGCAATAGGCTTCTTAGGATTGCCAAGAACAATCCACAAACCAAATTTGAAGTTCACATGTAAAGTATTTCTCAAGTTATTGCGCTGACAAGATTTCTATTGTTTTAGCCACTGTGAACTTGACCTTTGGCCTTTTGACCCCAAATGCAAAAGGCTTCTTAGGATTGCCAAGAACAATCCACAAACCAAATTTGAAGTTCACATGTAAAGTATTTCTCAAGTTATTGCGCTGACAAGATTTCTATTGTTTTAGCCACTGTGAACTTGACCTTTGGCCTTTTGGCCCCAAATGCAAAAGGCTTCTTAGGATTGCCAAAAACAATCCACAAACCAAATTTGAAGTTCACATGTAAAGTATTTCTCAAGTTATCGCGCTGACAAGATTTCTATTGTTTTAGCCACTGTGAACTTGACCTTTGGCCTTTTGGCCCCAAATGCGAAAGGCTTCTTAGGATTGTCAAAAACAATCCACAAACCAAATTTGAAGTTCACATGTAAAGTATTTCTCAAGTTATCGCGCTGACAAGATTTCTATTGTTTTAGCCACTGTGAACTTGACCTTTGGCCTTTTGGCCCCAAATGCGAAAGGCTTCTTAGGATTACCAAGAACAATCCACAAACCAAATTTGAAGTTCATATGTTAAGTATTTCTCAAGTTATCGCGCTGACAAGATTTGTCCGGACACACACACCCACACACCCACCCACCCACACACACACACACCCACACACACACACACCCACCCACCCACCCACCCACCCACCCACCCACCCACCCACCCACCCACCCACCCACCCACCCACGGAAGGACAAGGCGGAAACAGTATGCCCCTTCGGCTTCGCCGCGGGGCATAAAAAAGTTACAGGTATATAATAACATTAGTAATCACTAGGAAACCGATTTACTGAGGAAAAATCTTGCCCAAAGTGAAAAAAACAGAACTGTTACTAGGGCTCTACCAAATATACTGAACAGTCGAATAATTGCTCATCAACTGAATATTCGAAAAGCTTTTTGCCAGTTTGAATATTCTAAAACATATAAGAAGAACATTCATCACACACGACTGAGATGTCATTTTATCGTAAGTTATCGGCGCTTTATTGTTCCCCACCTTTGAGTAGGTTTAAAGGGAATGTACATCATTGGCTTTTGCTGTAATTTTCAGAAATGAACTATTTGAGGGGTTAGTATAATAGATCAAATATTGTTTAACTGACATGTTTGTTTTCAAAAATGCTGGAAAAACCAAGAAAATCTAAAATGTTCAAGTAGTCTGGTCCCTGACTCCACTAAAGATGATATGGATCAATTCATAGATGCCGGAAAACTGTAAGGTAAGGGAACCAGTCTAGCTGGCCTGCATCCGTTCATGAACATGTAACCAATAGCAAACAAAATTTGGACTGAAAAAATGGTAAATTTGGAGCAGTAGTTGACAAATAGTTAGGATTTTCCAACGGTGGTCGGCCGACCACCGTTGGAAATTTACAATAAAATACCACTTTTCTTGAAAATGACTTCACACCAGGTGCCATAATTTTACAAGATGCTTAAGACCGTAATTTACCAACATCCTAGTAAGGTATTTATTTCGTAAAAATTTGGTATTTTGTTTTTTCGATGTTTGCAAATGTTGTATATTCCCTTTAAGCCGTTTTACAGTTATAAAATACTTACTGCAAAAATACCGATCGCAGCATGCACATTTTTGCTGCCACCCTCTTCGTGCAACTTCTTTCCGGCAACCAAAACTTTTTAGCTGCAACTTTTTAAGCTGTAGCTGAAAGTTTTGAATACTCGAATATTCAGTCAAACGCAGTTTAGAGAAATTGAATACTAAATTATTAAGAATTGGATTTTACGGCATTGCCCTTAAAGGGAATGTACATCATTGTCATTTGTATTGCTGTAATTTTCAGAAATGAACTATTTGAGGGGTTAGTATAATAGATCAAATATTGTTACACTGACATGTTTGAAGTTTTGTGTTGGAAAATGCTTGAAAAACCAAGAAAAACAAAAATGTTCAAGTAGTCTGGTTCCATGACTCCACTAAAGATGATATGGATCAATTCATAGATGCCGGAAAACTGTAAGGTAAGGGAACCAGTCTAGCAGGCCTGCATCCGTTCATGAACATGTAACCAATAGCAAACAAAATTTGGACTGAAAAAATGGTAAATTTGGAGCAGTAGTTGAAAAATAGTTAGGTTTTTCCAACGGTGGTCGGCCGACCATTGTTGGAAATATATACAAAAATACCATTTTCTTGAAAATGACTTCACATCAGGTGCCATAATTTTACAGGATGCTTTAGACTGTCATTTACCAACATCCTAGTAAGGTATTTCGTAAAAACTTGGTAGTTTTATTTTTCGATGTTTGCTAATGTTGTATATTCCCTTTAAGACAAGCTGTCATCCATATTAAAACAACTTTTCTTCCCCCACATTTCTACATTTTGTCTTCCCTACCATCTTCCATTGACAGGTCTTCTAGATTCTTGCTGTCTGCATCGTCTTCATCGTAATCCTCCTCCTTTGCAATCTCCTTGACCATACTGCCCAGATCCGACATGGCTCCCAGCTCGGCTAGATGACGCTTGGATTCCTGATTAAATGCAATTCATAAATACCTCAGACAGTTTAGCTATTCCTATTGGTCGAGAGCCCGTCACGTGGCCAGTTTTAAATGGATGATAAAGACATGGCTAGCTGGTCTTAAACACTTTTCCAGTGTCACAATAAAATGTGGACTCCTAAAAATCCAGTGCCTCTTACCGTTTCATTGGTTGAACGTAAACAATCCTCACGTAGGCATGCGCAACACTACCAGCGAGTCAGAATTTTATAGTTCTAAATTCAAAACGCAACGCCCCAGGTGCGTTGTGCGCGACATCGCGTAGAACATGCTACGCGCGCGTCATTCTCCTTAAAAGGGCTGTTTACATCTTACTCGCCAGCTGAACACTCCATTATTTTGCTAAAGGGATGTTTCAAAAAGCATGAAGTGAACTTGTTGAACAAAATCGGGATTTTTTTAACAAATTATTTGATTTTTTTTTACCGAAAAGGTATTTATGAATGGGAATAAATATGTGCTCGGTCGGTATTTATCACTCTGTTTAAGACCACTTAGAGTCTGGGTGCTGATAATTACCCTCGCCTCCGGCTCGGGTAATTATCAGCACCCAGACTCTAAGTGGTCTTAAACAGAGTGATAAAAACCTCCGGAGCACACATTTATTCCCTTATGAATGATGTCAATACAGTTTAACTCAGGGTTCAACTTAAGCGGGTTTGGAGGAGAAACACAAAGAGGTATTACATATGGGGACAGACAGGTTTCGGCTTTAGCGGTAGCCCACTAGCCAAATGCTAGTCAAAACAGCAGCGGGCTAGTCAAACTATTCCTTAAGTAGCCCGGCTGGCGAGTTCAAAATAGTTGGGCTACGGCAAAGATGAAAGGACAGGAAGAAATAAATCATTAAATTCATAAGGCAAACATGTATCATTTTGTGTCTAATTGTATTAACTGTTTAGGGTTAAATTATTAGATTGCCTCAGGATACACGTTTGTATGCACATTGTTGTTTATGAGACACTCTATGAAAGAAAAACATTGGGCTAGTGAAAATGCCCACGGGCTAGTTAAGAGTCTGTTTAAGTAGCCCAGCTGGCTAGTGAAAAAAAAAGGCAAGGTCAAACCATGTTTTACTATAACAAAACTGCAGATCTTGTGTTGTTTTGTTGAGATACGCGTAACTGAGCAATACACGAATCATCTGAAAACTGGAGTTACTAAGGGAATAAATGCGTGCTTGGCCAGTTTTAAACACTATGTTTAAGACCAGCTGGAGTCTGGATGCTGATAATCACCACAGCGTAAGAATTTTTCGGTCCACAAGTCAAAAATTATAAATTTACACAATCCGCACACGATCTGCTTCCACAGACTACATGGACTTTGTGTGTGTGAACAAAAGGCACGAGGTATTAGCGTGTTTAGACGTCACCCGGAGGCGAGTCGAGACAATCTTGACATCTTAACCCGTCAGCCGTGCCTGTGTATAAAAAAACAGCCAGTGCGTGTTATCATGGCCTCCGGCACAAACTGGTTAAGTGGATAACATTCTACTCACTGGATCGAGGATGTCATCGACCAGATTACCCTTCTTATCGATGTTGCCAAACAGGAAGCTGGTTAGAGTCAGATCCTTGGCAGAGGGTGACAGTAGCGGGTCTGACCTGGATGAGGCCATGTCCCCCTCGTCCTCAGAGTCCATGATGGCTGGCTGGACGACTCAAGCAGGAGACTACAATACGCAGCTACATAGTTCTTCACGAGAAAATGCAAACATGAAAATATGAAATTACAGTTGAATGCAAAATGTCAACACAATTTGGTCATATGTACAACAACAAAAATTCAAATTCAGAGTTCTCCCAAATCCTCCGGTAACTCTGTTTTACCAACATGTTTAAGCAGGTTTTTCTTCGCATGGGGCATCTAAATGGATGCGGCATGCATGCATTACATAGAAACTGGTTCCCACAGCTAAACATGGCTAGATAACAGCAATGAAATGGGAGGGAGCCAGCGTGGCGCATGTCCGAATCATGCCCGAACAGATTTCGAAGACTCGGATGTAAAAGATTTTCGATGCAAACAGCGATGGAAACGATCGAAACTATCAAAAAATTTCAAGAAGGTTTATTAACAAAACTTGGTCCCTCTTTCTCCATATTGTATTTTCTGCTTCCAGGTCTCAATGCTTTTGTTTGTAGTGATTCAGCAAAGCGTGATTTTCCGTGTGACCGTCGCCGTGTGCCAGTGACCACTGTCAGCGGGGCCGGTCCACATGGTACTAGTTCACAAGCACGATGTTACCGTGCGATACGGACCGTGTTGGCCCGGCATTTCCCCTTCGCAAGTAGTGATGTAAAGGATTTCAATTTTCCTCTTTTTTTGGCGAGTACTGCCTGTCTTCAAATTAGACACCTCTTCTAGGTTTAAAACAAAAGCATCAAACTTCGGCCCCCTCAAGTCTCTGTGGTCTTTTTGGATGTCAAAAAGTGGATTTTAAAAAATATAATAATATATTCCCCTCCCCACCGATTTTTTTTTCAATTCGAGTGACGTAACCCTAAAAATTAACTTTAAATGGCCAATTCTACAGTGATACCTTCAAACACGCTCAAGGAAAAAAAACCACAGTGATTGTGTACATGTAGTTATGGGCCCCTCTTTTAATTTCAGTCCTTTGACACTGTTCATTACATTGTTGTTCCTGTTGTTGTTTTGGCGATCGTGTAGTGTAGGGCCCCTGTTTAGTTTCGATAAAATTAGAGTCAAGGGTGTTTTTTATTACTCAAAAATGACATTTTCAACCTAAACTAAACAGACTTCTCTCAATATACCTAATGACACCTTTTTTGTAATTTTTGAACAGTTTCTTGGGGTAGAGATTACGATTTTCCTGCGTGGTTTACAGTTGGTACCGTGCGATTCAGCGCGCCTTGCACGTTCACGGCACATCTCGCAGTGATCGCCATCTTTATTTTCGTGTTGCGTTTTGTCGTTGTCATCGTCATTTTACCCCCAATTTTCCCTCAAAAATTCAAAACCCTGCCCTTTATCTATGACATACCTGTATGTTCTTAATGTCGCCAACTAGTTTGGTAGGTCAAATAATTTAAAAGTGGATTTTGTTCCTTTATTATAGGAACCAGGCCCCGTAGATACACGATCACCGTTGTTTTACCCAAAATTTCCCTTAGTTTAACATAGCTCTACTGAGTGGAGCGTTGAATTACGGGTACCCCTCCATACCAACGCTCCACCGATTCGCCATACTTTGGTAGCACCATCACAGTAGCATAGTCACAAACCCACGCGAGGACAAAAAGACCCCCAAAAAACGGTAAAGAGATTACAAATGAGAGAGACAGTTATCCTGGATTGATCTATACATTCTTGACATTCCATGAGACCCCTTATATTGTTCCCAAACAGCGAACATTTTAGAAAAAAACAGCAAAAAGTCTGAAAACTTACAGTTCAATGTGTTTGCATGGCGGCTCAGTTCTTGAATTAGCTTGTCAATGAGGGCGTCTGACGTGACGTCACCGTCGTTGCTCGATCGCGAAGAAAAACAAGTCGCGCTTTATCAACGACTGTTTCGTGTAATAATACGTGCTCCGATCCGCGCCGCGCCGTACGACAGTATGGGCTTTGAACACACCCAAGGAGCACGTATTATTACACAAAACAGTCGTAGATAAAGCGCGACTTGTTTTTCTTCGCGATCGAGCAACGACGGTGACGTCACGTCAGACGCCCTCATTGTCAAGCTAATTCAAGAACTAAGCCTCCATGCAAACACATTGAACTGTAAGTTTTCAGACTATTTTGCTGTTTTTTTCCAAAATGTTCGCTGTTTGGGAACAATATAAGGGGTCTCATGGAATGTCAAGAATGTATAGATCAATCCAGGATAACTGTCTCTCTCATTTGTAATCTCTTGACCGTTTTTTTTGGGGTCTTTTTGTCCTCGCGTGGGTTTGTGACTATGCTACTGTGATGGTGCTACCAAAGTATGGCGAATCGGTGGAGCGTTGGTATGGAGGGGTACCCGTAATTCAACGCTCCACTCAGTAGAGCTAAGTTTAACATGGTTAAAAAGAATAGAATTATGTTAGGCTAGACCCGTGAACGTGGCGTTGTATACAACGCCACGTTCTTGTGTCATTTCGAACCTGGCGAAATCGATCCGACATACATAATTCCGTATGGGTGTTGAGTACTCACCTAGAAATCTAAATTTGCCCGTCCGATTGTTTAGGCTGTGTAATTTCGATGAAATTTGCCCATCAGTAAAGACCCATACGAACATGTAGAAATTTCATTTAACCCGACAAGTGACCCTGACAAATGACCCCGGACGAGTCGCTTGGACAGATTGACGGCTGTTTCATGTCGCAACCCCGAAAAAAAAAACCCGCACCCGATTGGCTGCTCGGCGAAATGATAGTATGCGCATGCGTACAAGTGCATGTACCGTACCCCCCGCGGCGCGCTCCGAGCGAACCGAAGATCATCGCTCGATTATGCGTGCACGTTTCAAGTGTCAGGTTGGCTCAGTGCGGAAAGGGCTTTTTTTTTCATCATTTTAGCCCAAAAAACGACAAAATCAAGCGATGTTTGTTCTGCGCATATTTTGTGAGTATGTCATGAGGTGTAGTACAAAGTTTGGGGGCAAACTGTACAGCGGTTCTGTGGGAAAGTTCTGCATTTTGATGGATGTTTTTGTACTTAATTAGTGTTTTGTGCTGACAACAATTTTGCGGGGTTCTAAATCTATGAGGCTCCACTACGTGGAGCCTCATAGTTCTAGGAGTACTTGTGTATGTGTGCGCGCGCACACGCACGTGGGCGCACGTGCGCCCGCGTGCGGTGCGGTGAGAGAGGAAAGGACTTGAAACTTGTCTAAAACGATGTCTCTTTTAGCTGCGACAGTAAACAGCCGTCGAATCATACGAAGGACGGTACAATAAAACGCAATGCGCATGCGTCACTTGGGAGAAAATGGCAGCTAGCAGGACTTCATAAACCGGGGCCAGAATTTTCCTCAAATTTCGTCAAATGCAAGTTTTGATGTACAAACAGATTTCAAGACAGCTTCATATGTGAGTACTTATTACATTTGCAAAATAACGTCCAGTGTGTGTAATGGAGGGAGTCAGAGGGACAATTTCGCCAGGTTCAGAAATACACAACAGCGTGGCGTAGTTTACAAGCTTTCGAGTCAACTCGTACCTTGGGCGACTCGTACCTTGGACAACTCGTACCTTGGACAACTCGTACCTTGGACATCTCGTACCTTGGATAACTCGTACCTTGGACAACTCGTACCTTCAATTAAGACGACTCGTACCATCAGAATAAAAAGTAGAGTACACTGTACGTGCGTGACTTAGTGTGTGGTTCCTTGACTCCGAAACGATATGATTCTTTTCAAGTCAAAGTTAACTTCTATCTCACAGAACCACATTCAAGATCTAATGGCTTTGCCAGGCAGCATGATTTTCCGCATTGGGCCTGGCGGGCCGGCCTCCGAGGGCGCGAGCAGCGGTCGGTCGTGCTCGGTACCGATGCCGGTGACTCGGAAGCGGCCGGCCTGCGAGCTGCGCGGCGCGCGCGGCAGTGCCATTCTGTTTTTAATGGATAAGTTAAGATAGATTGAATTTTACAGTGGAGAAACTTCAGATGCAGATTTGGTGTAATTGGAAATATTTGTCAGTCCAAGATTCACGTCTTATCATTTTTGCGGGGAAAAAAAAGTAGTTCAGGCGATTATAGTCGTGTTCCCTAACGTGGCGCACTTCGAAGCTTACCCGACTTTCCTCGTGTCGTGTTGCCAAACCTCTTTGTTGACAAACCTCAAATTCATGCAATGAAATACTAGTACTTTTACCTTATCAATGCTTGCTATTTTACCTCTGTGAACAATTTCAGTTTCATAAAATTTAATCCGAAATTCAAAAACGGTGGTGTCCGGAAATTGGGCACAAATTGGCGGAGTGTTCCCTAACGTGGCGCACTTGAATAAATCTTGGAAAATTCCAAATTAACACTTACGAATTCCTGTAAACTTGATAAATTCTGATAAATAATTAGTATCTTTACTTACATACCCAGCCAAATGTTTGTCAGAAAATTATTTTCTTATTTTTCAGGGCATTTTCAAAGGGTTCACTTTGCACTTGAAAATAAAATCGGAAAATCACGCCAAAATAGCTTTTCCTTCTAACTTTGTTACGGGTAAATAAACTCGCGATTTATGAACAGGACCGTTTAAAACTTGATGAAATTTCACTTTCTGTGAAATTTCATTTTAAAATTTTGCTCTAGGTAGGCGCTACCGGCGACAAATCCAAGTGCGCCACGTTAGGGGCCGCGCCACGTTAGGGTACATCAACAATATAGGGATCAATAATAGGAAAAATGTTGCAACCTGACGCCACTTTTTTCTTCATATATATATATCATCTCAATGATGGTCATTCATTGCAAAAATAATGGTAAGACGTGAATCTTGGATAAAAACATCAGTTCCATAATATTTTCACGTAGCCTAAGTCTCTAAACGTAACGGCAGACTGCATCAATGTCACCGTGCACAGACGTCCATATTGACCGGTCAGCGCGGCGCAAGAACCGTGTCACTTTGCACGGATGCCGCGTGGCATGCCGCGCACACAGTAAGCTGCCGCGGCCGGCTTCGCTGAATAAATTCCTCTTTTTTGGGGGGAAAGAGAGCCCATACCAAAAAG